ACTATCTGTCCCCACTCTGCTCCGAGGGGGCAGGAGCAGAGGGGAGGGTTTGGGGTGCCCCTGAGCGGTGCCGGCCCCCCGGCGGGTGCCCAGCAGCTCCGGGCAGGGGGGGTTTGGTGGGGTGAAGCCGTGACCCTCCCGGCGAGCGCTCCAGCAGATCGCTGCAGCCCCTCTGAACCAGGCGGGCTGATTGCACTGCTCGGGAAAGGAGCTTTAGGGCATTATTTGCCTCCATTTCACTCTGCGGGAGGCCGCGGAGCTGAGCAGAGATGCTGAGTGCTCTCCTCTCTGCTCTCTCTCGCTTTCTTGCCTTTTTTTTTCTTTTTTCCCCCCTTCCTTTTTTTAAAGTAGTATTTCCAGGATAATTTTGGTGAGGGGGGTCACAGCGCACAAAGGCAAACAGGGGAGGGAAAAAAAAAAAAAAAAATCAAAAAATCACCTTCCCGGCTGCGTCCGGCTGCTTCGCGGGGTTCTGGCGGCCTCGAAATGAAACATGATTGTGGCAAATTGCAGCGGTAACTCCTCAGCGGTGCTGCGGCTGGGCCAGCCGGGCCAGTGGCCCGAGGCGATGGGATGCCACCGCCCGCAGAGGCAGCCCCAGCACCGCGGGGCCCTCGCTGAGTGGCTGGAAAACCGAGCGTAAAACAGCCTCGCGATGGCTTTTTTGCCCACGGCCGAATGTGCTGGCTGGGGGTGAAGGAGGTATCGGGGGGTTCAACCTCTTCGAAGTGGCTGGGTGGTCCCAGGGGTCCTGGCGAGGCGGGGGCCAGGGTGTGGGACCAGGCACAGCCCACGCTCGCTTGCCTTCATCTTGGTGCTCTCTGCACCCAGGCTGGGTGCCAAAGGTGCCCCCCACTGTTCGAGGCTCCTCCCTGACAGCACAGAGCAGGAGGGAGCGGGGCAGGATTTGGCCTGAAGAAGCAGGAAAATCTCTGTATCTTTTCATCCCCTCTGGCAGTGCCCTGGGGATGGGACAGTCGCATCCCATCGCCATCTCTCCCCCCATCCCATCACTATCTCCCTCCCATCCCGCCAACATCTCTCCCCCGTCCTACCATCACCTTTCCTGCATCCCATCACCATCCTCCCCACATCCCATCGCCACCTCTCCCCCATCCCACCTCCATCTCTCCAGCAGCAGCCGCGGTTGCCATACCCAGGGGCTGGCTGCGGTGGGGGGACTGCAGGAGCTGACCTGGGGAGATGGCAGCTAAGGCTGGGAAGAACTGGGATCCCAGTGCCCAGCCAGAGCATCCCCAGGGCCGGGGGATGAGGGGAGGGACGAGCCCCGGCAGCACAGGCTGTGACCGCCCGAGGCGGAGGGCAGGGATGGGAGCCGGGAGCGGGGCTGCCCCGCAGACGGGTGATCCCAGCCGTGGGGCTGAGGAGGCCGACGGGAGAGACGAGCCCTCCCGCGGCTTCTGCCCTTTGCCAGCCCTTTTCTCTCCAAAACAAACAGAGCGGCGGCCCCTGCCTCCCCATGTAATGACTCCGCGGCGACAAAGTTTAATATTCCCCGGTGAATGGCCCAAACAAGGAGCCCCGCCGGCCGGTGCAGCTCACCGGGGCACGGCCGCCGGTGAGTGACGGCTCCCACAAAGGGAAGGGACCGTCTAATCCCCCCGGGACCGCGGCACCTGCACCCTGGCCCGGCCAGGATTAAAGGGGAGCGAGCCGGCCTCTGCAAAGATCAGAGGCTTCTTTATAGCAGCCTTGAAATAGGATTTCCTCAAGTGATAAGGGGCAGGGTGGGAAGATAATCTGGGGGGGGGATGTTGGTACCTGCCCCCATGTCAACCCCAGAGATGGTCCTTGGGGTCACCTGCCTTGAGGCTGGTGCCCCGGACCTGGAGGGAGGCGGCAGGGGGGACCTGGGCACCCGCTGCCCCGTCCCCCTTATCCCAGGGGTGGCTGGTCCCTCCCCACCATCCCCCTCCATCCCCAGCACCCGCCGAGGCAGGGATGGGGGCTCAGTGCCCTTTGACCCGGGGGCTGCTGTCTGCTCTCGCCAACAGACCGAGGAGATGGGGCTACTTCAACTCATCTTCACGTCACGTAACTCTGATTTCTGCTGATTTCCAGCACGAACAGTTGTGGAAAATTCCATTTGTGTCTTTTTTCAGACATAAGAGGGCAGAGAAACGCCCCGTCTGCGATGGGCACCCTGCACCGCTGCTACTCACGTCAAACCCAAGGGAAAAAAATCCTCCACACCAACCGAAGGAGGGCTAAACAGCTCAGAATCTGGAATAAAACACTCATGTGTTGCTTGACAGGATACACTGACACCTTTATCTGCACAGGAACAATGTACCACTGTGAGATCCTAATTCCTCGCCCTGCACCACAACCTTACAAGCACCAACATCCCCGAAAATCCCCCCAGGAGTGAGATGAACCAAGTGGATTTGCAGGAGAAGAAGCAGCGCAGGTGGGACCTCACGAACATCCACACTGTGTCAAAAAGCTTCACGTTAAATACCACGAGCTCTCCCTCCAACCACGCCGCCCGTCACCCACCCAGCTTACTGTAAATACACTGTTGCTCTAATGAAATTAAATATTTAATACTTGGAGAATAAAAAAAAAATAGTCCCATGCCTGCTTGTCTTTCAATAATCACTTTGGTTTAACTCACAATGTCCATGATGTAGTTCGTTTTCAAATCATGCAAAATTCAAGAGAGTATTTTAGACTATCTTAAAGTCTCCCCTCTGCTCCCAAAAGAGCCGTTACCTGTTCAGGCACACCGAATATAGAGCACAGGAGGGCATCGGAGTCATCGTGAGCCCAACGAGGCGCTTTAGTGACGTGCTTTTTCAGGCTGCTGCTCAGAAGTGGTTTGCAGAAGGACCGCAGTAAATTTCTACTTAGAAATAACCGTCTGTGCCTGAAGAGCGGGACAAGGTGCCGCACAGCCCGGGCGGTCCCGCGGGACACGGGGCCGAGACGCCCGCACTCTGAGAGATGCTCTGCTGGGGTATCACTGCGCTGGGTTCACGGTGGGGGGAGCAAAGCCATCGTGTGCCTGTGACGAGGCCTCGGGAAAGGGATCGGGCTTGAAGGAAGGAAGGATATTTGTGGGAGATAGGAAAGAGCAGGAGCCAAGAAGCCGGGGCTGGGGTCCTCCCGCCGGGGCACTCGCCTGGCCCAGCCTTTAACTCCGGTTCCTCCGTCCCCACGCGCCGCACCCCGGAGGCAGAGCGTCCCCAAACTGAAGGTCTCCTGGTTGAGAGCGCCTCGCTGTCCCCCCGGGATTAGCACCCGGGCACGGTCCCACGCCAGGCACTGGTCAGACCCCAAAGCCCCGAACGTGGCGCCTTGGGGGGACCTGCCCTGCACCTCGCAGTGCCCAACATTTCTGCCCAAGGGGCAGACGAGCCCCCCCCGCCGCAAAAACTAACGCAGTCAGTGCTTAATCTGCTTTATTTGGGGATTGAATTTACCCAGAGCTGAGCAGGAGACTGTTCCTCTCTCGGAGGCCACGGACTTGGCTTGAAGGCACCCCAGCGGCTTCTGGGCTGCACAACACACCTGAGCCAGGAGGCACGAGGAGCTGCCCACAAACTCCAGCGTGAAACATCGAGGTGTCCTGGCCAGCCCCGGGGTGGGACTGACCCTCACAGCCCTCCCCAGGACCCCCGGACGGCAGCAGGGCTGGAGGGAGGTTTGGAGGAACCCAGAGGTTACCAGCCCCTCTCCAGCCCCGCGTGGACTCACAACGGAAAGAAGTTTAATGGCTGCGGCCCCTCCGCCCCGAGCAGGCAGCAATAATGGAAAACAAATTGCTGAACTTGGTAACGTTTCAAGCACTTTAGCCTTCCAGGACACCAGACTGCTGATGAAAACCCAGCTTTGCAGGCACCATCTTAATGACAGGCCAAATTTCAAAGGCTTGCAAACTATTTCTTTCGGTGCCCCACCCCCTCAATAAAAGGTTGCATCAGAAAGAGATATTTCCATAATTTATAGTATGGGTATTTCACTGGGGAGACTCACTAATCTGTACTTACAGATACATTTAAGAAAATGCATCCTCCCACAATCCTGTGCCATTTACGACTATTGGCACAATCTGTAATACTCAGTCTTCAATTAAGGGACACCTTAGGGTTCATTATCACACAATTGCTCCCTGTGAACCATGCCAAATGCTGTTTTGGCACAGAGCTTGGAAGATGAATTAGAAGGAAGTCTTCTCGGTAATGCCCGCTCCCAATTCCCATCAGCAGCCTTTATGCCCTCCTCTAGCCCTTTTTTTTCCCCCCTCTCCCCTCTTTCCAAGTGGCTTTTACTATCCCATCTTTCAACGTCTCTCTTGATTCTCTGGAGGTATATTTAGAGACGCTACATCTCCTTTTCTTCCGGCTCTCAACATGCCTCCCGCTCCCTGCTTTGCAGATGGGATCTTCTTCCCTCCCTCCCCCCACCCGTAACTCCCCTCCAGCTGGCCGGGGAGCCGTGGACGGAGCCGTTTTAGTTTGGAGGAGCACAAACCTCACGTTTTACAAGAAAGGGACGGCTGCAAGGGCTGGACTGATCACCGAACTCGGCCCGGACGCCGCGAACAGTTAGCGCTCCTTAACGTACCCAAGGGAGGAGCACGGCCGGAGCCGCGTCCCCCCCCGCGCTCCCCCCCCCAGCCCGGGCCAGCGGGTCCTGCACGGCTTCGGCCTCACGGACAAAGCTCTGGCAGAGCAACAAGTTCAGGACATTAAATCCAGGGGCTGCCGCCTCCTCGCCAAGCGCTAAACCATCTCCGCAGGCCCGCGCGCCTCTGGCCCGTCGGCGACTTCCCTTTATCAGGCCAGACCCTTCTGGCCCAACCAGCCACACCTGCAGCGCCTTCCCGGGGAAATCCTCAGCGCCGCCGCGAGACGCTCCGACGTGACATTAGCAGAGTTATTTTATTAGAATTCAGACTAGAACGAAGGCTCACCGACCACCCCCGGCTCCCGGGGCGGCGGCGAGGGGGCAAACGGAGTAAAGCAGACGGGAAATACTTCACCCACAAGACACCTTGTGGAAATTTTATTATATAGAGTGTAAAATGCAACTGTCAGTCAAATAAAAAGAACACTTTTTTTTTTTCTTTTTAAACACCATGCTCAACATTATCCAATTGCGTTTCTTTATAGTTAGACATTTCAAGCATAAGGAAAAATAAGGAAAGAACCCAAGAACAGTAACTTCAGTACATTTCAAAACGGAATGTCCTGCAGGGCAATTAAAAATGCAAGAAAAAATAGCTTCAATTCCGTTTTTTCCTTTAAAAATACACTGTTATCTGTACAAGAAACACTACAGTAAACATTGGAAATCATATTATCCCTTTTATTAAATCAAAATTATTTAGCGCATACTGTGGTTAATACTAGATTCATTTATTTCTCTAGGTAATTTGACAAATATTAGATAAGAAAATATTTAAAAGAAATGAAAAAGCAAAAAACACCTTGGAATTAAAAAATAGTTACTACCTTTTATATGGTTTTATGTTCCACAGTGTTTGTTAAAGGTACTAATAGCAGATTCATTTTAATATTAAAAATAACAGTATTTATATTTCTGAGAGCATAGAGGAAAGTTTTTTTCTTTTTTTTTTTCTCTTTTTTTTTTTTTAAACAAGCTTGGAGGTCTTAGATACATAAATGCAACTAGCAATGGAGACATGAAAAAATGTATTGCTAAAAAAATTAACACGTTTTTATATTACCCCTTTAGACTCTAGAAATTATACAAACCCTACAAAATGCCCCCCCGCCCATAACTTGCCTGACAGCAAAACAGTAACTGTCTCAATACAGAATTCACATAATTAATTACAATACATATCATAGTTCAGTTTTTAAAAAATGCAATAAAATCAAAGACAGCCAAGATACAAGAAATTAGAAGTAAAACATTTAATGAATTTACATATTTAAGAATATTTAAATACTGTTTAAAATTTTTTTTTCCTTTTAGGATTTGTTACATACCACCTAAGACTTCCAAGCCACTCTTTCTGTTGCAACAGAAAAGATCAAAAATTAAAAGGAAAAAACACACAAAAACCCACATGTTGAAATGTCACAGCTCTGGGGTGCGTTTTGGTGCCTGCAAATTCTCTGGCTTCTCTCCAAAAAGAATCCCGGAGGTTTGTTTTTTTTTGTTTGTTTTTTGTTTTTTATAAATTTGGAAACAAAATTACCAGCATGTCCATGAGTTTAGTACATTACTAATTGTTCCTGATTCTTAGAAAAGTTCAGTATAGATTATCCTACAACTAGTGTTTCACAAACAAAACAGAAAAGTCTTCATCAAAACGTTGCAAATCTAGAAACCTCTGTTATAAAAAGGTTTTCTTCCACAATGATTCCAAGAAAAAAAAAAAAAAAAAATTGCCACGAGGATCTTGTTCTACTGCTCCTAGAGAGTGGGGAAGGGGGGGGGGGAAAGGAAAAGTTACTGAGCGGCAGCAAATTGAGCCCTCCTCCCCCGACAGAGCCAGGTCTCCCTCCCCGCTCCAGCCGAGCGGGATATAGACCTTGAACGATGCTTCCAGCCGAGATCTCTGCCCCAACTCCTGCCACCCCCCAGCGCCCCTTCCAGGGGCTCGTGCCTCTTGCTGAACGAGACCTCTCTTCTCCGGAGCCGCCAGACTTTGCGGGAGGAGTGAAGAGAACTCCCTTTTATCCCCGGTTCCAGGTGACCCTTGGCCAGCGCCGGCGGCGAGCGCCGGTTCCTGCCCCGCGCGGGGCCGGGGGAGGCTGCAGCTGCAGCCCCGGCCCCGAGGAGCCCGGGACGAAACGCCACGCGGGGGGTGTCCGCGCGCTTGGCTCTGGGCTTGGCGCCGAGACGTTCTCTCCGCAAACCCGGCTCGCGGGAAAACCCCGCGGGCACCAGCAGGATAAATCCCACCCAACCCCTCTGGCGGTCCGGGTGACAGGTGAGGTGAGATTTTGCTTGGTGGCTGGTTGATCCGAATTATTTTTCGGGAGTTTTCTGCTCCCTCTCGGGACAGGGTGCTCCCTCCCCCAGGCGAGCGCCAAGCCCCTGTCCTAGCACAAAGCTTGCAGAAGAAAAGGCAAAGCCCGCACACACGGTCCCGGGTGTGCTGGGCTCCATCACTCCTTTCACGTTAAGTCCCCCCAAACGGCCTTGGGGTTATAAGAAAAGACCCCCAGAAGAAACAAATAATCTCCTAGTCCTCTCCCCCCCCCCCCCAAAAAAAACCGCTCACCCTGTACAGGGAACTACGACCCCCATGTCGAGACAACACTGCTGCGATCCCTTCCTCAGCCACCAAATCTCTCTGCCCCACCATGTGAGCCCAGAGCAGAGTCCCCACACCGAGGCAAGGCCGACGTACCCAATTCCCTAAGGGAAAGAGCAGTGGGGTTCAGGGAGCGTGAATACAGACCTGGCTGTGGGCCTGAGCCTGCCCTAGTGTCTGCCCGTAGTAGGCAGCTTGCTGTCTGTAATACTCTGCCCAAGCCATCGTGTAGTCTGGCTGGGAACTCGCCTGAGAAGCGGCACTGGCAGCATGACCTGGAGGAAAAGAAGGAAAAAGGGAGAGATGAGCGATTCAGCAAAGAGCAAGCCCAGGCTTAGGATTTCCTTTTGTAAAGCTTAAAGTGGAGCCAGCCCCTTCCAACGGCAGCAGACATCTGAAAGCGACACCGGCTATCTGCTGATACGACAGGACAGGCTCTGTGCTGGTTTGCAAGGGACAAACCCACAGCAGCCACAAAGCATGAAGAGACCCTTCCTGGGGGTGCAGGGACAGTCCGACAGCCTCTGCACCCTTCACCCTCGGCCCGAAGGCTCCAGCAGCGCAGTGGCAAAAGCAAATCCAGAAGTCAGCACCGTGTACTACTCGATGGAGTGGAGAAAGCCAGGCCCGGATTTTCCCACGCGCGCAGAGCTCTCCTGCCCTCTCAAGAACCCAGCTTCAGCTTTCTGGTTTTTGTCAGCATCAGATCTTGTGTGCTACGTTTCCCCCGGGCAGGCCACGTGCAAACGTGGACATGAGGTCTATCATGGTTCAGTGGGAGCACCTCTCCCGAGGCACGACAGCAGACAGCACAACTGAGAGCTTTCAGGGGAAGAACTACATGCACCACCACCAACAGGAGAGGACCAAAGGGGTTTTACGGAGGATTGGAAGCTAATAGTGGCAGGGGATGGAGACGCAAGTCATCGGATTGGCGTTAACTCTGTTTGTAACGAGAGCTGAATCATCTCCAATAACCCTGTTTCACTCACTCTGTTTTTTGAAATACTCCTCCCATGCTTTGCTGTAATCGGGATGGCTGTTCTGCTGCTGGCTCTGTTGGCCTGTGCAAAGATGACAACAAGGGGCACGTCAGTATGGAATAGGTGACAGTTTCCAGCCAGTGACATGAACCTTTCCGCTAGACTGGCCCTGGATCTACCTCAGTTGCCCAGACTTCACACTTCAGCTTCCACACTGCTACAAGTGCTGGGCACCTTCAGTTCAGGGAAAGCCGAGGAAAAGCTCAAGTTCCCAATTTCACCTCACGTCTGCCCTGTTAAAGGGCGTTAAGCCAAGTCTCCCCCCCTGCTGCGACCTCCTCCAGCCAAAGCACCGTGGCTGGGAGAGGCTCAGTTTGCACGTCGACCACCCCAGGCTGTCAGCCCACTCCCATCCAGCACAGGGGTGGAGGGTTGAAACGCCCGACAGAACCGAGGCCTGTCACCTCGACCTCCAGCCACGGAGCTGCCAAGGCAATGGCCAGGTTTTGAGTCATTTCATTTGGTTTTCAGGACTCTGCAATCCTTCGCCCCCACTCTCAGCAGCGGAGCACATCTGAAGGAGCCCCGGCGGGCAACGCCGATCCGTACAAGGCACCCACACACGAGCCTCCAGCTTTCCCTCTGCCCCAGCACACGGCTCCGGGGGAGCCAAGCTGCTACTGGCTGCAGAGTCCTCAGGACCGAAGGGAGTCGCGGGCCCTGCACGAGGCACAGCCAGCTCCACCCACACTACACCCCACGCACCATCCGGAGAGGCACCCACGACACCCTCCTAGCAGCCGCGACGGGCTCTGCGCCGGCACTCAGACACCTCACAGACCCCAAAACCTTGGTCTTCACCTAGCAGAGACTCCTCGTCTTTGAAGCACTAAGACACCTTCAATCCAGCACAGCTAAGCGCTACTGCGGGGGAGAGTCCAGCCAGCTGGGTGCAGAGGCGGGATGCCCACACTTCCCTTAGTCAGAGTTAGAGCAAAGAGCCCGCAGCGAGACACACAGCGAACAAAAAAAGCCCTGAACAGAAAACACAGCAATTAGAAAACGGCAGAGAGAGGCAGGCACAGCGAAAAGCACGAGCGCTGAGCGCGAGGGACACACGCAAGGCCAGGAGACACGCGTGGAGGAGAGCTCTGCCCAGCCCATCCAACCGCCCGGGCTCCGCGACGCCGGCCGAAGGGGGGGCTTTGAAGTGGGGGGAAGGGGGGGGGGGGAAATAATACACTGCAAGTGTGAAGTGGGTGGAGGGAACAGGGCAGCAGTGTCCTGTCCAGGGGCATAAAAGCGGGTTAAAAGACTTGACCAACGCTACAAGTCAGGACCTTTTCTGGCAGAGGTCAAGGCTGCCTCAACTGTCCACCTGCTAATGCCAACAAAGGACCTCCTTCAATGCCTTTTCTTCTAGGAGAATTACAGTCCGCAGCAGGCTGAAAGGACACGCAGCTAAATGCATTTCACAGCAAAATGTTTCCCCAGCCAGTTAATTTATTTAAGATGGGGGAAGTAATTAAAATCTAAATACATGTGTAGGGGGTGGGGGTCTGCCCCTCCTCCCACAAGGAGGGCACTCTGGAGCCCGTCCCTCGAAGCCTGCTCGGGGAACGGCTCAGCTGGCTCTGTGACAGGGCCAGCAGAGCTGCGAACAAACAGGCTGCGGCACTCGGGGAAGAGACCCTTCACAAGACTGTTTTCAAACCAAACCTTAACGCGCCAAAGCAGGTATTTACCTAGTTTCTTATAATAATCCTCCCACGCCTTGGTGAACTCCACCTGGCCTGACTGCGTACCACTGTGATCTGCAGCAGAAGAAAGCAGTGGAGGCTGCTTAAAGCACAGCATTATCTTGTCTGTCCTCTCTCCTTACCAAGACTGCCTTCAGTCTGCCTGGCTACCAACAGGAACACGGAGGATCCTAAGAAGACATGGAACTGGAGAGCCAACATTTCCCATCAGGTTCAACAGCAGAAATAAAACATCTGCCCCCCAAACACGGCACTGTGGTCCTACGATCGTACAGGGGAAGGATAATGGCAAGGCAGGATGCTTCACTGGGCTTGGGAACCACCAGAAACCTGACAAACTCATGGCAAAGCAGTTACTGGGAAACAAACTGCGCAATCAGGGGCTTCAAAGGGGCTGTGCTTCTTGTACCAGGCTCCAAAGCCAGGAGCTGTGAGCTCGAGACATGGCTACACATTGCAGGAAGGTGGATTTTTTTTTTCCCCCGAGGTGGCTGGTGGGCAGGATAAGAGGGTGGTTTAGGGAGCTGAGAACAAAGATAAGTTACTAAGATGAGTTTCTAAAAGGCATCTTGCAAGGCAAACGGCAATGCACATCTCATAAGCATTTATTCAAAGGCTTTATGGGAAGATAAAAATTAATTTTTTTTGTAGAGCTTTCCCTGCTGCACTGACTGCTCTGCTTCCCAAAGCTCAGAGAAGTCCAGTACTCCTGGGGATGCACAGGAAAGGACTGGAATAACAAATTTTTCTGTAAAACAAGGTAATTGGAAAATACTCTTCTTCAGTACCATACTATTCCACTCCCGTACAAAATAAAAAAAGTCCTTTTGAACCCATCACTGCATTTTGCTGTCCTGAAAATAGAACAACTATTGACCTTCTACAACTCCCTAGAGCTCAGAGGAAAAGTCACGATTTATAGACTTTAATTGCTAAGGAGCAAGACTCTTCCAGAGGAATTTAAGAGTTTAACACACACTTCCTGTGCAGGGTTCCTATGTCCTACTGTAGCACACATTTGAGATGTGTTAACAATGCAGCATTGAGGATTTCCAAATTTCATAAATGCACAATTTTGTAAACATTAAAATGGGATTAGTGTCACAGGGAATCACAAGTGCAATTGCAGGCATTGCTTTTCCAGTGTTTACCTCAGGCACCTCAAAGAGTGAGAATTTATACTGAAGTTAACAATCTACTTCATTGCTAAATCCACCTTAGCACTGAAAAGCACCTGTCAATTAAACACCTTTAAAATTACCCCCCCACACACATTTTTTGGTGCTTAGCTTTAGTTTTCACAAGACTAGGCCATTAAAAACCTCGTATTTCCTGAAAAACTGTGATTGAAAAGTCTCTGTTGCACATTACTGCCCATTACATGAGCTCTGAGATTACCAAGCAGACTATCAATCTGCTGTTTAGGGCAAACCATTACTCCGGCTGTTGAAGACACAGGATGACACAGTTACCAATGCCACCACCAGCATTTACTACTTCAATTATTCTGAAAATGGAGACTCCCCAAATCCAATCTGCTGAATTTTGACTTAACAGGCTTTTAGGAAGAAATAACACTTCAAAACTTGAATAACAGCCAGCCTGACTCAGTGCTGGTGGCTTGCAGTGGAAAGCTCAGCAGCAGGGGTGATCTGGATTCAGTTTTTGAACTCATGACTATGGATATGTATGCACGGTTTTGTGTTTTATTTATTTATTTGAAGGCTGGTTATCCTGCTGGCCTCATTCTGAGCATTTAGCACTGTGGAGGCTGAGCAGTTCTCATCAACTCCCAGAAGGAGACAAGGGGACACTACTAGAGCCAGTGTGGATGAACCAGGATAGGAGCCCGGCCTATCCTTTCTTCCATTTTCTGCATCTCCTTTCCCAGTCCATCAGACTGGGAGTAGAACAGTGAGAAGAGCTCACGAGGAGCATTTGAAAAAGAAAATAAGCAAAAACTGATAAGGTCACGAACAATGAGGTGGGAGGGCTCTCCACCAGACATGGTGTGCTGGTTAGGGGGAAGTGGGGTTGGCAAGCACTTGCCTGGAGAATCCTGGCAGAAGAGACCCTAAGGCAGAAATGTTTTTGTTAGAGAGGAACAGACAGCAAGGACCAAGTTTCTACACAAGAAGAGCAGGAACAGGCAGTAAGCACACAAAAGGTGTTACGGTTTTCAGTTGGCTTCAGCTTACTCTGAGCTCAAACACCACAGCATGCCTCCACACACCTCTTCTGCTCAGGAAATTCTTTTGCGGTTTTCACACAAGTCGTCCCATGGGTGAACCTGTGTTTTGCAGGCATGAGGGAGGAATGGCAAAGGGAACACCAACCCTTTTCTAACCCGGGTCCTAGACACTTACCTGGGACTTGCTGTCCAGGCTGCTGCCACGTCTGGTAGGTACTGCCCCAGCCCTGCGTCATGAACGCCTGAGGACCACTGCAGAGGACAGAAAGGCACGCTGAAGCAGACAATAAAATACTTCACAGGCTGTACACGTGAAATTGCTCACAAAAGTGACATTGCTACTTGTGGTCAGCAATTGCTGAGCAAACAGGTGAACATGGGAATAAAAGGAAATACTGTGTAGGTATGACTGCTTGATATTGGTCTGTTCACAAAGCCAAAATGAAGACACACCACACTGAACAGCACTCCTTGGGCAGTATGCAGTTCAAGCTTCTTTCCATGCTATCACTGCGCTAGACAGGAATTTTGGAGATGCAAATACCAACGGTTTATAATCTAACAGCTAAAAATCCCTCCCATAGTCAAGCTTAAAGGATTAACCTCACTTGCTTCTTGCTTCTGAATGCTCACTCTTTAAAAGGCTCCACTTACACACCACCCCTTCATGGCCCTCTACCCTCCTCCCGTTGCTTTTACAGCTCCCAACCATTCCCCACAGCCCATCCATGATGAGATGGAGAAGCTTACTTTTGATGAGGTGTAGCGGGTGCTTGGCTGAACGGACTTTGACCAAATCCTCCAGGTCCACCCATGCTGGTACCCTGTCACAGAATCCACAAATATTTAATGCCAGCACTAAGCACAGGGTGGAGGCAGCTAGCATGAGCAGTAAGAAAGGGGAGAAGACAGCCTGGGACACATTCCACTAAACCCCAGCACCTGACAGAAGCGACTGATTCTCCAAGGACAGAGTTCTCAGGACTGTCAGCACACTCCAGGAGCCCAGCTTCAAAAGCAACTCTGGCCAGCCCACAAAGGGGCTAACAGGACTATGGCACAGACAGAGGTTTCCTTTGAATAGCTTGGATCCCGAGGTTGGTATCAAGCCTTCTCCTCTCAGGCAATTCAGCACAAAGCTTGCTTTTCAGCTTTACCATACCCCAGTTCCGTACTTTCGTACCTAAGTCTCCCCCTTCAGTAGGACTCCAGCCTGACATTTTTAAGCTTCGATACTATAGCACTGCATTAAGTGGAAGATGAAAGTCATCCTAGATTTACTGGAGCAAGGAGCTGAGTGTCACTTTCAGTATGATGATGCCAGGAATGTGTCATCCTCATGCAGTGACACTACTGTCTTCCTTTCAAAAAATCTATTTTGACAGCCTTCTCATACCTTATTATTGCTGCTCTTCCCCCTCATACAGCTGCACACTACCCTTGATTATGTCAGCAAACAGTCAGGTCCTTCTGGGACCACAGCAAAAATTATTCCAAGGGATGCTGGAGGGACATCAAGGCAGCTGCTAACAGGCAAATGGTTTTGAAGCTAAATAATGTACGTGTGTGTATTCTGTGCCATCCTGTAAGTTCAGGATTACAGGTACCTAAGAGTGAAAACACCACACCTGAAAGAGATCAACAGAGATAGGACTTACACCAACTTTCTCATCTATGAGATGTCTAGCGAGTTCAATTTGCTGGGGAACTCCTCTGATTGTGAATATTCGTACACCAGGGTCTGTGTTTGGAGGTGGGTTTCTCTGGAGCTCCACATGGGCTCCTGACTGCTGATTTATGCTCTTGATGTTCTCACCACCTGAAGAAAGGAAAACCAAGACACAAGGAGGGATATTCAGCATCTCTTTCCGTAAGAGCATATCAAAGTCAGGTTCTAGTAATGGAATACAGTTTTAACTACCTTCTGCATGCCTCAAGGGAGGTGGGCAGAGGATGGCAACAGCATAAGAAACCACAGTATTTGAGCTCATGTTGTTCCTTTGCACTGCCTCATAAGCATGACCTGAAACCGTGACCTACTACAAGAGTTTTTGGGGTCATGGATGGTGCTGTTTTAAGAATACACACAGTCCCCTATGTGCACATTGCTAGGCTCCCAACAAAATGCAGCACGGCCGAGATACACTTTGACAAACCAGATGCAAAAACTGTGCTGACTGAATTCCGGTGGTTTTGCATAGCTGTTCACAATCCTCAAGAAAAGAAAGTCACCTGCAACTAAAACACGCTTTTTCTTTCTTCCACGAGGCTTTTTTTCCATTGCTAGACATTTCATTCCACTACAGAGAAAACCCACCAGCCACATACCTTGTAGCTTACAAGCAAAGCTTAAGCTTTCTCACAATCATGTGCTGTTCAATAGCTTATTCCCTCAAAGAAGCCTCGGCTTACCACACTTCCCATTCACACGCATCCCTCCACACAACCGCAGCAGCGCAGGATTCCAGGCAGTCTTCTGCTATTTCAGAGTTAGTCGGGCACGCAGGGAACATAACTGGCTAGTTTGTCAACTGGATACACTAGAGCACAGGAGCGCTTCGAGCAGGACGCTGGCCAGGCCCGGCAAAGTAGCTCTGATTTCCTGAAGATCTGCTAGGGCCGGGTCTCTTAATGAAATTTGCTTAACAAAAGCCTCAGCCAATGTTACAATGCTTCAATTCTTCTTTTGGAAGCTGACACAACTTACAGACCAGCTCTGCTCAACTGGAGAAATTAAAGGGTGTGGGGAAGGAAGGGGTTTTACAACTTTTAAATCACAAACCAAAAATCACTAGCCAAAAGGACATACAGCAAGCAGGAAAGAGAGCAAAGGAAACTAACCAGAGATTTTTGTTTGGTTTTAATTAAGAAGTGTCCAAAAATAATCTCCTCAATGTTGCTCACATTTCCATCTCTATACATCCAGCACAACTTCAAAACAAACTGTGGATGTTGCAGACACTTGTTCATTTCATTGTAATGGACTCGTGACCTTTTTAACATTTTAAAGCCTTCCTGGGGAAGGGAGGAGGAAAAGTTGCCAAAGGGCAATTAACTCTTTCTAAATGAATTTTTGAAGATGCATTTAACAAAAGATAATCGTGTCACATCCCTGGGTAGACAACAGTGATTGTACTGTGCAGCCAAAAGCCAAGCCACTTATTTTCAGTCAAGCATGGGAAAGCAGTAAGATGAAGTTTCAAAATTGAGGGGGTTTTTTTTGTTGTTTTTTTTTTTTTTTTGTTTGTTTGTTTTTTTTTTTTTTAAATGCAGATTTGTTTGAAGCTCTGATTTTTACATATTGAGGTGAGTCTGAAGAGTCTGAATGAACAGACACTTCACTTGCTTAAGGAAATGATAGGACCCTTTCAGCCAACATGCTTTGGATCATGAAGGAGTGGGAGAACTTCTTTACAGGGCGACAGAGGCACAACCATAGGTTGCTACTCACAGAGCAGACTAGGTTTCTCTTTCCAAAAGGGGATTAAAATTTGAAGCGGTCTCATCAAACTAGAAGTGAGGAGAATATAGATTTCAAATAATTTCCCTGCTTGGTAGCTGTTGGGGCTGTTTCCACATCGGCTCCCTCCTAGACTGCATTGCAGAATCAAGTTAGTTGGCTCTCCAGGTTTGGTCAGAGGCTGCGAGCTCCTACCTCCTGCACCAGGACTTGGTGGGCTTTTCCTCCTTACCCTCCAGTCTGGTACATGCCAAAGTGCTCCCTCCCATCCAAGCTATCCCAGTTCAGCCTCCAGAGCATGCAAACGGAGTGACGCAGTCAACACGATGCTGCACGGTGCCGGAAGGAGTTCATCTTCCCCCATAATGAGGTGACCCACTTGGCACATGGTGGCTGTCTATAGATGCATTCAGCAGCCTGCTCCATTCTTCTACCTGATGGGGGGCAGAAGTGATGCAAGAGTGGCCCCCCAGCTGGACGTGAAATCTTAAAGCAATTAATCAAACCTGCTAAAAGGCAGAGCTGACAAGAGCCAGGCCAACCACGTTATCTGTCAATATTGCCGTGTTTATCATGGAAATCCAGCGGGGGCCCAGAGAGGCTGTGGTTTGTTTCCAAGCACCACCAAACAGAGAAAGCACTTGACATATGTATGGCGCTCGTCTCCACCCTTCCTCCAGTCTTTCAGAAAAGAAAAGCTGCACCTACCCACCCTCTAGAGGAAAAAGCTATGCAAAGGATTTGCAGGGAGCCACAAACTTCTTATCAGCTCATACAGGTTCACATTCCCAAGCTGAGAAGTGATGTCCAACAAGAAAAGGGCCCTAGATCTTCTATCATATGTGCTGCAGAAATTGCACTGAGAAACTTTCTCAGCATCCTTTTTTCCCCCCCTTCTCGAGTAGTGACATGGAGCTGGAAGCAACAGCAGCAGTTATCTGGCCACATCGCATGTACTACACCCAGGGGCCCAAGATACCCACTGCTTGGGTGCTAACTTCAGAGACCAAGCTACGTGTGCCCAGAGGACTCGGCCAGATTTTACAGAGAAGGCTAACAGCCAAGTCCTGTATCACAGGGAGGGAGGGGGGAAAAAAAAAAAAAAGAAAAAACCCACAAAAGCTGGAAAATTCTCAGAAATTAAAAGTGGGGAGCAAAGGTTTTACAGTTGGTTATCATTAAGAAAACCCCACTAGCATGCCCTCTCCCCTATACTACCCCACAGGCAGTGGGAGAGGAAATAAAAAGAACCAGGCGTCTCACACCACCACAGAGTGCATTACATCCACCCCAGTCCAGGCCCCAACAGGCAATGCTACAGCCATCACTCACTTGACAAAAGTGAAGGCTGCAATAGAGTAAGCGCATAGGCACTGTAAGAACACCGATTACAAGGTAGTATTACAAAGCTACAAGCACTCAAATCACCATACAACTAGTAATTAGTCACTCCAGAAAGCTTCTGATCTGACTGAGTAAGAATCTCTATTTTGCTGTTGTGGAAACAAAGGCAAAAAGCTACCCTTCACCCCCACAGTGAGCCTGTGCCTGGCCTTGCACTTGAATGCTAGGACATCCAACTCCGCTACCTGCATTTATCTTTTCAGCACACAGTGCTCTCTGTAGTCACAAATGCTCCACTTCAGTGCACTGCTGAACAACAAGTGACCTTTTCTCATCCTTTATTAAGGATGACTAATGGATACAGCAATAAAGTTTCATTATAATTTGATTTTTCCGTACATATAACTCTCACTTATGGGTTTAAAATTTGCTTTGCTTGATCTTTTGCCCAACTGGACCTTTCAGTGAGATCAAGCACATTCACTCTGCAATTTCTGTATAAGTGGGAGAGCAGGTGTTTTTTCATATTGAAAAAACTTTTCAGGTTTGTGAACAGGTTTATGGAAAAGAATATAATCTGAAAATGACCGCAGATACACTGCTGACATGCTTGTGTCCCATATCCGTGTCCCTTGTCACCCAGTAAGGCAGGAGTTCAGGATGCTACAGGGGCCAGACACATGGAAGGGAACAAGTGAGATGCAGCAGGGTTGTGCAGCAGGAGAAAGAGGCCACAACATGTTTCATTGCAAGTTCACTCCAGCCCAACAGGATGGCAGGAAACTAAATGCCACTGAAATATGGCACAATGCCCTCAATTCTCTGCCTCCTTTACTGCTGTAGCTAATCTGTTCCTATTCTATTCACCTCACCTCTGCTGAGGCTAAAAGCCAACTGTGATTACTTAAATACCAGTTAAGGCATATGTTATTCTTTCTGAAACAAGCAGATAAAAAAATTAAATACAACTCCTTTGATACGTCAGTGTATTAACTCAGAAGCGTTGCAACAATTCAGAGCGATAGGGTTCTTCTATTCTTGGCTCCAACCTAAGTACTGCCATTACCCGATGCGTAGCTCATGCTCTATGACAAACTGAGACTGCTGCTGACGCTCTGGTTTCAAAACCGTCTTGGGGTTGTACTGGTTCTTGAGAGGAAGGCCAGGAGACTCCTCGTCCACCTCCTTAGCGTGGAGCTAAGGCAGCCAAGGGGCCTCCACGGCAGTGAACGTGCTTGTCTGAGCAAGACAAGGTGCACCAGCCTGCTCCATGACAGGCTCAGATGCAGACAAATCTTGCTTCTTCACTTTATTCATCACACACTTCAGGTACGTGGATGGAAGCAACTACTGTCATTAACACATTCAGAGACCTTCCATTTTATCACATGGCACTCTCAGAAATCCAGCATGATGAAATGACTGTTCTACTTGTCCCTGATAAACCGTCCTTTAAACGAATTCTCTATAAAAAAGAATCCACAAATGAACCTGCCTTTTCTCAGCCAGCTGCTTGTTATAACAAGCTTACTTGACAGCTCTGCATGAAGAGCCTCTCTTACAGCTTGTGAACAAGGGCCTGGAGAGTACAATTATGAGTGAGAGCACCACAAAGAAAACAACCACAAGCGCTTATAGCTTATTCCTATGCTGCATTCACCAGCCACTAAATACCTGCAATTACAGAAAACTCCAAAGCCTCACTGTCAGGCAGCAAGAATGCAACCATCCTGAGAGAGAAAGATTGCAAGCTCAAGTACTTAGTGTCACTGGACCTACCTTTGCCTATAACAAGACCACACTTATCGGCTGGCACCGTGTAGGTTATTTCCTGCATGCCCCCAGGTGTTCCAACACTCCAGTCCCCACGGCCACGACCTCTTCCTCGGGCAACAGCCAAGCTTCCAAAGCCATCTCGTTCCTTGGAAGGCAAAAAACTGTATCAGTGTTTTTCTGCTGGCCCCAATGCACATTAAAAACAAAATAAAGCAAGGTAAGTTAAACTGCATTATAATCAATGGCACTGAATTAAGATATTCTTAGACTTCAGTTTCACATTCAAGATTTTGAAGCACTTTACAAAAATGCCATGTAACGTAGGTTACAGTTGCCTTCCTGACTCAGGAAGATATTTATATATTTTAAATGCACGCCTTTATATCTGTTTATATAAACAAGCATCAACTACTAAATGACTTTTAGTTTGTGATGGGTGCTTTCCCTTAGAGCAACCAATAGATCTTAGTACTGACACACACAGAAGTTGCTTTCAAACCCTTTCAAGTATCGTTTTTTAAAGAACTGCTGGAATTACTCAGCTGAAATGCGCATTTCCCAAAAGTTCCAAAGGAAGCTTTTAAGTTCAAAGACACTTAAAGGACATACCTATTTTGGGTAACTGAATTCTCCAAAAGAGAAGACCATGGGTAGTCAGAGGCTATCATAACAGATCTCAAAATTGAAGTGGATTATTAAAAAACATTATGAAGTCAAGTATTCAAACTAGATCTCAGGACAAGAAGAGATATCAAGACCTACCCTTGATGGACAAATTATGCTCAGGTATCTGGTCTGGAATGACCGAACACCTTTACTCCCCAAATTATGAAGGGAATATACTCCCCAAATTATGAAGGGATATGTTTATCCCTTCACGAGTCCATCCATCTTGGTACTTCTTGCTCTTAGGCAATGCCCTATGTTGGTGTGTGTCTGTGACCACGTATGTGAGCACTCATTGCTTTCCCAGGCTTCCCACAACCACTAGACCAGAGGACTGGAGTCTGAAGAGGAGGCATCACTGAGCACTGTTAATGCTCTGCTGTCGAAGCGTTACTCAGCCCTATGGAGCAGAGCCTCCAGTCTCTGTCTCGCACTACTGCTGGGCTCCATTCTATCAGAGCACAGTTTTGAATAACTTGAGAACAACTGAACATGTGGAGTAAACGTGAAGCTATAATGAGGCCTCATAATACTGCCTGAGAGTAAGAGACCTTCCCATAGCTCAGTTAGCCCATGTTCCATTAAAAACCAACATAAACAAGAAGACAAACCTAGAAGCTCTGTCCTGGGCAGCAGCATGTGTGGCCTACCAGAGGGAAAATGTGACACTGTTGTTCTTCAGATGGTGGCATCCATCCACACAGCTGTGTGCAAGCAGACAACATTCCCATATAACCATTTTCCTCCCGAGAGCCTCCAGAACCCACCTGTGCTGTGAGAATGAGCTCGCTGATGATGTGTGCTGCATGTTGACACCTATCAGGAAGCCCCATGACCTGTGCGACTCTTTCAGAACTAATCCCATCATCTGTGAAGAGAGGTGGCAAAGACTAAATTAAAAGGCGAAAACATCCACCTGCCAACAAAAGTTTCCTTCTAGCACCACCACTGCTAGGAGCATCTTCACATACCGTAACCAACCCAAGAGCTACCTCTTCCCTCCACTTTCAGCTCCTCTTCCATGGACTGAAAGAAGCCAAAACCCAACCCACTTGGCAGAGGGAACAACATTTAAAAGGCAACACTTCCAAATGTCAAAAAGCCACGAAAGAAACTGATATAATTTTAAGAGGACAAAGGCAGCTTTGATAGGTGATCAGACAGCCAAGGACCCAGAGAAAGTTACTTAGAATTAATCAACTCCTGATCCCCAAAGGCTTTAATGTCCTGAAGGAGAATTCTTTAAGCAGGAAATAAAAGGATTTCTGTTACTGTTATTTTGTTTATTCATGTAATTACTACTCAAAACATTACTGCTGTGACATCTAACATTTGCAAATGAGCTGTATATAATCTTACTCGCTGAAAAACAGAAAGTGCACAAGAAAGCAGCACATCATATTTAAACGTTTTTCAGAAAGAGACACAATCCACCTCTAAATCAGGAAGACCTAGCTGCTGTAACCTCGGATCAGATTCACTTTAGCAATTCCAAGCTGGAACACTGGTCAGAAAGCAATGGCTCTCCATCCTCACACAAACCTGGTTTAAATTGAATCCTAACTCCAGCATCATTCTGAATCTTTTTGATCATTTCTCCATTTCTTCCTATCACAATTCCAACAGCAAACCTGGGCACAGAGACCTGATGGGAAAGGCAAAGCAGTATGAAAGCTCAGAGAACTAGACTGAATTACTGTGATTTACAAGGAGATGCTCTTAAACTACGAGGACAGGCCACGTTAAGCAGCCCCAGGCTACAGAACAACATCCCTCAAAAAAAACAAAACATGTGGCCACAAATTCCTTCCCCACTAAATGAACTCTGCACTACAAGAATGCAGCTTAAAAAGACAATTAGAAAAGTGCCATCTGGGAGTCCATGAGAACTCCTCTTCTTTGCAGCCAGACTTGCTCTTCTGGCAACAAAACACAATGCATTTTAAAATAAGCTTACAGGTTACATGTGCAATTTGATGACTTCCACCCACTACCCATCCCACAGGGAGGTTAGCAGAGTACTCGTGAAGAAAACATACCTCTATGCTGCCTCCTCCCATTCTAGAACTGAAATCATTGCGTACGCCTCGGAAGTCTGCCTGATCTTTCTCTCGGATGATCTCCAGTACCATTTCCCTCGCTTGCTACATGGGGAAAGAAGTTACAGTTAGCTTAAAATGATTCTGCTTGCCATCTTGGTGTTAGGGCCTCAGCAGTGGCTAATGGTCAGGCTTCAGGCAAAGTGATCTCCATCTGCTTAAGGGAAACAGCATTCTGATTGTAGAGTTTCTTTTACCATAGTCAATGGAGATCTGTTCTTGATGGCATCTTCCATGTCTGACAAAACCTGCCAAGTGTGCAAGGTGGCAGTTTCTTGTGTGGAATTGCTTCCTTCAGCCTTTCAAAAGGCCCTTTAGCTTTTAAAAAATTTTGAAATTTTTTTTTTCCGTTTCATTGTTAAAGGAAGCAAAGGCCCTTTCCTACTGGATAGAACTGAAACCAACACAGTAAGGTAGAAGCTGTGGTAGCATAGCAGAGATCATGTCTACTACGAGCCAGAGAGCATGTATCAAGGAGGCAGGTGGGTAGTAGTGAGATCAATGACACTCAGAAAAGTTAAGCCCAAGTCTGCAGCAATCCAGCCAGACATTTTCTGAGACAAATGAGTATTCTTCCTAGCTACCTGCACCCCTCAAGGTGATTCACAAGCTTGCATGTAACCCAGCTAGTAAAAGTGTACCTTGGAAATAAGCCAACAGTAGTCACCATTAAAAAAAAAAAAAGCCTACATCTCAAAACCAAAGCCTTTGTTTCTATATATTACCAGTGAAGCCTTTGACATTTTGGTTCTATTTCCGAGTTTGAGGGACACTGGTGAATCTGACTCCTTTCACATTTTAAATATTTTCCATGCCCCCACAGTATTTTTTACAGAAGGAAACAACAAGACATTTCAGAGATGCCAAGACAAAATAAGGGCAATGGAGAGATTTCATAAGGATGTGAGAGTTAAAAAACACTGTTGTAGCATCCAGAGAATCCCACCAAACCCAAGGATTCATCAAGCTGAAGTGCTTTCTAAGTGTGTGCAACTTTTCTAATCGCCTCAAAGTTCTTCCAGCCCGTGCAGTCTCCATGGTTGCTTGGGATGATTTATGGCATGGAAGATGTGACAACAGCAAATCTTGCAGGGCTGAAGAAGCTACCTGGGAAAGAGTAGCACTTAAAGTACGATTTGGTTAAAAGTAGCAAGACTGCCATTGAACTCCTTTTTGCATATCTGTACCTCCACAATAAGAATTTGGGGGAAAAAAAATAAAGAAATCTAAAAGCCCACTTGCAATAAGAGGTTTGAAAAATACAATCCAAACATGCTATCCCTGAGCAACATCAACTGTTGCAGCAACTTATGATTAGGGAGACCCTATGAAGCAGAACTATTTTTATTAGAGACAGGAATGCTAAACTAGATTTAAGTACTTAGCAAGGTATGAAAAGCACTTGCTGTGAAGTGGAACATGCCACAGCTAAACTTTAATTCTTTAATTCAAGCACTCCCATCATGCTGCAATCTTCCAGTCTCTGGTTGATCATGAGTTTCTGCTTTGAACCGCAGGTATGAACACATCTGTAGAACCCTGACACAAGGAGACTGAGGTACCAATATTAAGCAAACCCCTTGGTTTCAGGAGTTGTTGTAGGTTTATTTTTTTTTTAATTACCTGCGTCAATTGGCTGTCTGAGATAATGAACCTTCCACAAAACTTTCTCAAGTGTGTGATTAAGTCAGTCACTAAGAACCCATTTGCTCAAGTAACATATAGCTATGATTTTTTGCTACACAGACTGGAAAGCGTTTCAAAGCTACTTTCTCCAAATCCTCCTCCTCAGCTCTTCTCCTACCCATGTCTAATATCTATGGGGAGTGAGAGCTCCTAGACCACACTGCAAACAAGCCAACACTTGATAGTCTGGTGTTTTAACTTGTTCTACTCAAACCTCATCAACCTTACAGAACAAACAAAACCAGCAAGGACCATTACAGTTGGACTCAACTCCATTAGATGTTCACAAACATGCTAAAGTTTCAATTTCTCCTCAGTTATCTGGGGCAACTGCTTACTTTTATTACATACCTGTACTTTAAATGCATCTCCAGTAATACGGAGAGGTTTATCTGCTCCAGTAGGCAATGGACCATCTTGGATCATAATCATTTTCACACCTGTTCGCTCCTGAAGAAAAAGCACAGAGCACTTTGCTAAGCAGAGTCCCTAGAACAAGGGACTATATTTTGGTTATAAACATTACGTAGGTCAAATCAGCAGCTTTACAGAACGCTACTTTAGCTCTTCATTGGTAATTATAGCACAAATTCGGTAACAGTCCTAAAGTGCAAAGAACTCCCAGAAAGTATGCTACTTCTGAAGTTCTCAAATAGCTGAATCCCTTGCAAAGAGAACCCCTCTACCTCAACAACTCATTTCCAAAAATCTGTAGCTCTCTGCAGATAATAGTTCTTAAGAGACCAGCCTTAAAACTATTGGATGACAGAGGCCTAGTCAGGGCACTCAAAAAACCTACATTTTTGACCTAGGTGTTTTTCTGAAACCCTCTATTCTTTAAAAAACTTGTACCAGATGGAAGAATAAAGAATGTCTAGGAACGTAATTTTATACATAACACATCACTTTTAATTAGAAAGGGGTGGGATGAGAAAAAAAAAAGATGACACACACCAGCTTTATCACAGATCAGCAACAAAAGAGAAGCACAGCACTCTACAACAGCATGGCTGGCATTAAAAACTACTGCAGCAGCAGACTAGACATAGCTTTTTCTTGGCTACAAGGATCCCCTCCTCAACAGCACGCACCAAATGTTATCTAAAGCACACTAGTTTCTTCCACAGTTCTGGCAAAATTCCACTACGTGCGTAGCTGGGGCCAAACCGATTTTGTTTGCAACACAAGATTGGATTTGAGTCCAGCTCTCCGAAGGCAGAAGAGTAGTCCCTGCTGTAGAAGGTTAGAGCATTTAAGGCTCTCCATTTCAGCACGCTCTTGTTGATCTAGAGAAGCTGCAGTAGGGAAGAGAGCCCTAAAGTAAATGCATCTTGCGCACCTGCAACTGTTTTATTGTTTCACCTCCTTTGCCGATGACTAGACCCACTTTGGATGCCGGGATCAAAATCTCCTGAATCGTACTGTTGCCATCAACATCGTTGTGAAAACCAGGTCCGTTCCGACAGCGATCTACAATCTGCCCCAGTAGCCGTTTTGCTTGTCTTTGGAAAAGAATCGAGGGAAACAACCATTAGACAACATTGTTCCACGTGACCAAGAGACCAGGAACCATCGGAATGGGAAGCGATTGGGGAGAGGAGAAGTGAAAAGATGAAGGAAACCATAGTTAGCACAATGTTTGACTTTTTTTTTTTTTTTTAAACTCTTTGATGCATATTTTCCCCTATCATGATTACTTATAAGCAGTTTGATTTTTGAAAGGGGAAGAGAGAAGGAAGAGCAGCAGCATGCTCTGACGTCTTTGGAAGTTAAAGGTAATAGGTGAGCTATAGCATCTGGGGTGCTTATTTTGAATGAAGATGCTCTAGATTCTACACTTTTCTACACTTTAACACATACACAATATTTGGTAAAACTCAAGCTTTGTTCTTCTTGGTCAAGACAAAAACCACACACTGCTCTGATACTAACACAGCACACTGGTTAACCACTCTCCGATCGGTCACAAGCAACTGCCTTGCTGCTCTCCACCTGCTCTTCCCAGCAGCACCAGAACACTGCTCTAACACAGCCTCTGCCCCAAGCACTAGGTGCTGAAGCTATACCACGAAGCGAGGCAAGGACTGCAGCAGCAGCCAGTGAAAGACTGGGTTTTTCTGCTCATGGTGAGAAGAGACACACAAAGAAGCATTTGGGAGATTAAAGATCCCTTCTCTAAAATCTTTAGCCTGTCAGAGGTAACTGGCAGGGTTTCCCTTCATCTTGAAGACTCCTAGTACCACCACATCCCTCTCCTGACCTTTTCCCACAACCATTCTCAAAGCAGGTGGAAGAAAGTCACCAGTTCCCTATGCAATCTAAGCAGCATCTTCCCCTCTCCACTTCTTGCCAAGCCATATCAGGCGCCCTAGGAGGACTGCCTTCTCCCTGATGATATGAAGAAACAGTACAAAGTCATCCCCTGCAAGCAGACATTCACCCAAGACAGTTCAGGGGGTGGTGATCTGAGGCTGCACATATCAGAGCACTGCTTTCTCTTGACTGTCTCACAAAACAAGGCAAAAAGTGGAATTTTTGGAAGCCCACTTCAAATATTCCACAAGAGTCTTAAGAGGTTTTATTCATTTACCTTCGTATTTTGCATAAAGTTCTTTTAGTGACAATATAGAGACTACAACAGTTAATACACAACATATTTCAGATGGAAGGGGTCATTTGGAAATCAACTCTATCAGTTTGCCACTGCATATAACTAATGGAAACACTCCTCACAAAATCCTTCACAAAGAAGTCTGATATCTAGATTGGTTTCCTTACTTAATTTTCTTTTTTCTACAAGTAGCCCAAGGAAACAGTTCAAACAACCAACTTGACAAGAATTTTAGCATAGAAGTAAATTAAATATCGTCTAATTCCATGTCCTCAACACCTTGTTCTGCTTCACAAATTGAGTGTTCTCAGTTTTCTTTATTTATATTTTAAAGACAGCTTTGGACATGACTACGTTTAACTGCTTATTTCAGAACCATGAAGTCTTACTTCACTACACTCTCCCCCACTGTCCCCCAACTGCATCTCATCAGGCATCCCAGCTTTTTAGTATTTTGCTCTTGTTCTGAAATATCCTTTGCTAAAGGGGGGAGAAGCACTTCAGTATCAGCAAGAATACACTGCCTGCCCTGTAATGTGAGCTTGCCAATTATATTTATTCTGGCTCACTGCTTGCAGTATTATGATAGAATAAGGAGATTTAAGTACCCTTACACCTCTTAGGAATGGAAGAATGATGAGTGTCTTCTCTTTAGAGAGACAGTCTTTGCGCCCATGTATTTTCACTATCAAATGCAACTCAAAGATTTCCAGATGGATTTTAAAAAACCCACCTACCCAAAGGCTGGGGAGAGAAAGAGCAGCTCCATATGTTAAGTGTGTTCCTGTAAGCCTGAGGATCCTGGATCCAGTTCCAGCAGGAGGTCCTCAACTGGTTTGTGAGAGTCTCAAACTCAGCTCCTGGGAAGGGGGAGGGAGGAAACACTGTCCCTAAAGTTTCTATAGGCCTAAAGAGTAGAAACCCCTGCTGGCTGGCCGGCCACGTGTCTCTACCATGCAGGGACCAGAATTCAAGACTTTGGTTCAGTCCTTTGCTTCCTGTTGGCAGCGATGCAGAGGCAAGCACACCCATGGGCCTCATGCTGCTCTGCAACAACACCAACACCTCCAGATTATTCTGGAGTGGCACCGACAGGCTTTGGAGGCCTCATGCAGCCCTTCTTCAGCTGGAAGGATGGTCATCTCAATAGGAGTAGGGAAGCGAAGGGGAGAAGAAGTGCCCTTCAACAGCTTAGCTCAGTATCCTGAAAAGCTGCAGTTAGAAAACTGCATCCTAGGTGCCCTAAGAGCAACCTTGCCCTGCGGAGGGGAATTCCACGGAAATTTCTGCAGAGGGTTCAAACTGTAACTGGAAAAAAGCCTTTGAGGTGCACAGTTTAAAGCATCAGACCAAGAGGTTCTATGCTGCAGAGACCCTCAAGTTTCTCTAGGCCCACATCTGCTGGTGTGGCTAATCGAGTAGCACCACTGACAGAGCATAGCATTAGGGAGAAGAGAGAGAAGGAGAAAGGAGAGAAATGAAATCCGAACTCACTCAATGTTCTCTGGCGTCCCAGTGAGTACGCAGGGCCTCTCGGGCATCCCACCACTGTCTACAAAGGAAACAAGAACAAAACTTTCAATACGTGGGATTAAAAAAAAAAAAAAAGTGGCAGCTGCTTCAGTAACTATCAAGCACTCACAGAAGCACTGCCATACCCCCACCCCCCAGCACATCAATGAATTCAAAAACATCCGGGGTCAATAAGTTTTAAATGATTTGCTGGATGTTTGCATTCCTTTAAAGCCTTCCCCACCAATTAAAGGGAAGAGTAAGAACTTAGATTACATTCATCAGCTGTTTCCCAAACAGCACTGTAGTACAGTCTTCCCCAAAGCAAACAGGCACTAGCACAGAACAAATGGATGGTCCCCTGTTTCTGATGCAAGGCGAGTTGTATGAAGAGCTGTTGCCACCCTCCTGGAATGTCTTCTGCCAGGAGTTGGAGCTGACCAGACTAATCAGAGACAAACCGCAGAGCTGAGCAAAGTGGTACCACCAGAACACTCAGCAGCTGCAATTTCAGGTCCAAGTACAACATGGATTGATTGTCCATTTGCCCTGTACCCATCTGTTGGTTAAAGACAGTCTCTTAATCGTTTCACTCCCCAAACCACCTGACAAACATGTTTTCCATGCTAGTCAGGTCAGTCCCACAACAGCTCTCCCATGCACGTTAGCCCAGTATAGACCAGTTGTTAACAGTGATAACATGCCATGAGCACGGCAAGATGTCTGATCTAATGGACAGCACATCTTTCAACATTAAAACCTGTTCACCTGCCACACAAAGAGGCTCTTACCTGGAGCAATTTGAATTTTGCAGCCAGACTCTGCCTGAATCCGTGAGATCTGTTCTCCTCCCCTGCCGATTACTGAAATGAGTTCAACAAGCATCAGAACATACCATTTTTCCAAGTAACTGCAGAGTACCTTTCCCCTTTTACTCCACTGCAGCTATCTATAAAGGAACAGTTTGACTCCAGGATTGCAGAAGAAGCATCCACAGCATGACCAAATTTATCATAGGAGAAAAACATTAAAATACTGCCAAAAGTTATTCTATTTGCTTGGAAAAACGAAACAAAACAGAAAAGCCTGTCTTGCACCAGAATAGAAATACACAGTATGCAAGAAATAAGGCATTAGTTTGAGTGCTGCTAGAAGAGTCATTTAATTATACTTTGCTCAGCCTGAGCCAATAAACCAGTTAATTTCAGGTACTAAAAAAAGAAAAGACTTTTGCTTTCATTTTTTTAAACAATTCATATTTTACTGCCTCTTTTCCATGGACATGCTATGTGGCTGGTCTGCACTCAGAACTGCTACATACGGAAATGCTCTATCAACTTTAAGTGAAAACAAATACCCATATCCCTTAACTTTGAGTCAGCACATCACTGTTACCCAAGACGACGTACTGAGGAGAGGCTATGTGCCAGTCACCACTCATAGCCTTCCCAGACTGCAAAAACAGCAAAACTGTCAAGCCAAACAGGTATGCCTGGCTCAAGATGCTCCAGAAGCATCTCTCAGCTGTGGGTCTGTCACCCTCATGCATCTGTCTGCCCCTGAACCAGGCTTAGATTTAACACAGAGATGATGCACCAACAGAGCATGCAAGCTCCCCTCTCAGAGCTGCAGCCTCCCTCCAACAGTCCCCCACGTGTGGTACCAGGATCGATAAATGGAGAAGTCTGACAGGAGAAGAGTGAGCGTTTCCTTTGTAGGAATCTGAGTTACAGTTTTATAGTGTCTTTAGAGTCAGGACAAAACTTCACACACCAAGGGGTAATTATCATGGCCCGTTATTTTCCTTTTTACTCTCCATATATCAAATTAGAAGAGATACACAGAGATCTAGCAGTGAAGAGTCTATGCAATCACTGTAGTAACATATCAGCAGGAGGTGCCATTGAAAGGAAGAGTAATGATTGTGAAGAGGAAGAGAGAAATTAGGATCAAGCTTGAAAGAGAACAGTATCAGGAATGCAAATCTAGGAAAAATTCTTATCTGAGCAGTGCATGCTGGTTGCGTTTCCCTGTAGCAAATGTATGAGAGATTTAAAATTCTGTTTAACTTGCCTTGAGTCAACTTTTATTTTAACATTTAAATGTTGTTTTCCTCCCTCAACTCTCACAGTTTTGCATACTCAAAGGAAGTAAAATGTTTTAGTGAGAGGAAATAAATTCACTTTTGACTTGTTTATGTACTGCCCTATTGGGAATTCAAAGAAGAGAATCACTAAAACTCTCAGTAACTTGCACCACACAGTCTTGTTCTTATTACTGGGACACCAAGCTTGTCCATGCAGTTTGCACCTGGATTTTAAACACAGATCATCTGGTCCCCATGAAGACAGCATTAGACCAGGCTTATCCAAGGCTAGTAAGCACAAAAACTTGGGAGCATGTCAGAATAAACAGCATTCCTGCACAGAAAACACATCAAGAAACATCAAAAGCATCCAAGGTACTTACTAAATCCAACCATTTTATCAGGCACTTTGAACTCTTCTGTTATTACAGCCCTAAAAAAAAAAAAAAAATATATAAAAAAAATCAAATAGTCATTGCAAAGAACAATTTGGAAGACAACTATGTCCCTGCCATGGAAACAGGGCACAGCGTAAGGATTTTGTGCACAGAAGTAAACACCATACCCCAGTCAAAATCATTTGTTTTGTAAAGGACTTCTCATGGTCACCTAATTTCTCCTATGCAGGATATATTTCCAGTCTACCCTTCCCTAGCTTTAATCGAGCTGATTTTTGTCATTCTTCCTCCAGTCAGATTTAACAAAATATTAATTTCTTTAGTATTTAGCCTAGACCCTCCAAGACACAATCTCTGCCTACTATTTTTGGTTATGCTCTTGCCAAGAGACACTAACCAAAGCCAATCCTGATATGAATGCCCCCTCTGATATTCACAGTTTATATTTTTTTTTTGCCTGCTTGTCCTTATCATTCTTTTACTTGGAATTTATAAAAGCTGTCTTCAATTATCCTTTGAAGTCTTATTATCTTGAAACTTCCATATCTGTTGCTCTTTGGACTTTTTCAATGTGTCTCTGCCTCAAAACATAGCACCCAAAGTAATTTCCTAAGACCTGACCATAGTCAAGTAGAAAGGAATTAAAACTGATTGGTTTTGGTTTTTTTTTTTTTGCTTAGTCATTTCTATCTTGTAGAAAATACAACACAATGAATATGGAATTTTCAAACTCCATATATGTAGATAAGCATTATATACAATTTGTTCAGGAATTCAAAAGCAATTAAACACCCACGTGATAAATTCAATGCAGGTTTTGTGGTGAGGTATCTTAAAATCTTCACATTTTTTGCTTTACATCAGTTAGGGAAGGTATAAAATACACATCAGACTTCACAGAGACTGCTAAACTGCAGGTAAAGTACACTCCACTGTCCTGAGGCTCACTAGCAGCGATGCAAAACCAAACAGTGCCATCCATACCTGCAACAGAACAGACTCACCTGCTACAGGGAGGTTCAGAATTACAGTAGTTTTAACCTGAAATAAACCCAGCCTGTTGCCCAAATGTCCTATCCTGCATTCATTAACCACCTTGTGCTGAAGGAACAGTTGCAGCTGGACAAAGAAGCCAACCTAGCAGAAAAACCACCATCAAAACTAGAAAGAAGCCAATTCAGGCTTTTCAGCCGAGTCAGTTCCCTGCATGAACATCACTCCTGGCCGAAGAGAGGTAGCAGGTAGCAGCAGAGGAGAGAATGCTGCCCACCCCTCTGTGCTGCCCTAAGCTGGACATTAGCTTTAACCTAACCATTAAAAATTGAAGGTTCTACAGTCTTCACACATATTGCTCGCCCTTTCTGCTGAGGCCCCCAAGAAACAGCTGGTTATGATGGAAATGCACTACTGTTAGCCTGAAGGTGAATCCAGCTTTAGAAATGCTCTCCCCTTCCTGCTCAAAACAAGACAGACAACTCTTTAAGACCAGGATTCAAGTAGAACTGATAATTTTACTTTTGTATTAGATGCTAAGACATGCTGCATGACAACTCATACTTGCTTCAGTCTCCCCAAACCATCTTCAATAAAGGAGTCAATCCAGGTCATATTACACCAATAAAACTAAATAATAATACTAATAAAAAGAATCTACCTGCCTACTTAATACTTCCAACCTCTGTCAAAATGTCAGAGCTTTTTGAGCTTTTTTTACTTTTTCTTTCTTCCCCCCCACCAGGACAGGGGAAGGGAAAGGAGAGAGAATTTATTTTTCTCAGTCCTGCAGATTTACAGGAACCAAATCTAAGTTTCACATCAACTCTTATTTCTTCATCACAACAAACAACCTTAAAATGTTAGCAGAAACCCCAGCCTGGAGAAAATCCAAGCTGACAGTTTCTCCACATTCTCAACCTCTGACTTCCTAACACTACTACAGATGGTGGATCAATAAACAATTAGAATTGATCAATAAATAATAAAACATAACCCACTGCTTACCTTTGATGTACCAGGGCCCCTAACTGGTTACCTACTGTGGCAGAGAGAGAAAAAAGGAAAAAAAATCAAAGCATTAGCACGGATAAACTAACTTCATCCCTACAGAAAAAGAGTTCTTACCATTTCATCAAAAAGAAAGAAAAGCAAAACAGTAATTTAGGTTCAGTAGCTGAAATGAATGCGTTATGGGTACAAAACAGGAGGGGATTTCTTGGTCAACACACACCATAACCCAGTGTCCAGCTGAACACAGGATAGGGAATTGATCCGTGTCTCCCCATGCTGAGAGTCATGGGAGAAAATCCTGCCTGCCCAAATCCAAATCCCTGCAACTAACCTCCCCCCTTCCCAAATTAAGCCCAAGGTAGTAAAAAAAAAAGGGGGGGGGGGAGGAAGGGGGGAAGGGAGGAGAGAAAAGAGGAATTTCAAGCAGACTGGTTTTTATTGAAAAACAAAAATAAAAGCTGAGCAGACTCAGAGATTTAGACTAGGCAAAAGGCATTAAAGACCACTTGCACATACTTCTCTCTGTGTCTCTTATCTGTGCTCCATGGAGCCCACTTACGCGGAGACCTGTTAAAGGAATAGGTCTGTTAAGTAACTTTGTGGCACCCAAACAGTATTTTTTTAAAAAAACACAACACATTTTACTGAATGCACACATTCCAGGCATATCTGCGATGTTAGCTTGGTGGTCCATTTATGATTAGCAGTTATATCCCCAGCTGACAACCCTCAAACAGATTTCCCCCCCCCCACCCCAATATATTAGATCTTTCTTCCAAATGTTAATGGAGAAAATATCATTAGACCAGCTCATGCAAAGTGGGAACACATGCCCTGCTGGGCTGCCTACTGGACTTTGCCTCCAGCAAACTAGCTAAAAACCAGACCATTTGGTCCTAACAACCAGTTGAAAGATTATATTGCATGCCTGCAGGGCACAAGTAGCGAAACAAATGAAACCGGCCTACATGTGAGCTGTGATAATAAAGATGCTGTTTCAAACTACCTTGCAGCAACCTGTGCATTCTTTGACCTGAAATAAATTGGCAATCAGCTGTCAGGGTTAGAAAGAGGATGCATCCCACACTCTCTAAATCCGGTAGAAAAATGCATGAAGTTTGTGGCCAAACACTTTACCCAAATAAAACAGACAAAGAGAGTCAATACTGTATTTCTGCTGTGTGTCAATACCTTCATAATAGTTCAGGACCAAAATATCGACAGCATATATATTTTATTACTCTCCCTAGCTCAGTGGTAAGACAACTGCTGTGTTATTGACTCAGTAAGATTTGTCTTTGCATATTCTCACCCTGAATATAAAAAGCTCTAATTTGATAACTATCAATTCTGCAGTTGAAAAACGTGGGTGATGTAATGGGGAATATTTGCTCTAGCTGATAAGCTACTACTGCAGACCTGAGCAAATATGACCAAATTCAGAATCTCGCCATGTTGCCCTAAACTGTACTCTGATTATTTTTACTACAAGCAATAGGTCTGGTGGCTATTGCTGTAGTATGGGATCACCCTTGCCACTGACCAGGCCACTCATTATCCCAAGATGCCAGAAAGAGTGGTCTTAACACTACAAGGCTGTATTTAAATATCCACTTCGCATTTCAATTCACCATAACAGCTCTCTTAGCAGTCTGTTCCACCGCAGCCACTGCCCACAAATTATGAGACAGATACACATCCTATAATCAACTCCTGAAGTTCATGCAAGGAATTGAAGAGCCTTAATTTTGTAACACAATCCTACACTTGAAAAAGACAATTTCTTAGGGGAAAACTGTATGAGCATGAGAAGTTAAATTGGTCAGGAAAATAATGCTTTAGATGTACATAACATTTCTCCAGCCCACTTCAAGTGTGATACATAGTCAGCCATTCAACACCCCAGGCAGGTATCAGCTTCAGTGTGTATTTATTGTATAAATTAGTTAAAAAAAATTAAGCCACAATAAATTGTACAAGATCATTCCTTCCACACTTCATAAATAACCTCTCCAAGAGCTCAAATGGGATGGAGAGAACTGGGAGGAATTTATTTGAAGTTGGTTACAATTTTACTCTGTTTTGGCGGGGGGGGGGGGGGGGAACAGGAGGAGAAAGAAACAGCGTGGCTCCTGGTTCCAACAACCTAAAGGTCCATTCCTCCTCCAACATGCCCGTTTTGCTCTGAAAGACAGGGACTAACAGAGAGGCTGGGCAGATCGCGCTCGCTGCGATACTGGGAGCTGATGTACATGCCAGGGATGGGGAAGAACGCTGACAAGCCACGTACATATTTCCCCCTTTCACATCTATTGAGTACAATTTAACTGTAACTGCAGTCATTTTACTGCAAATAAGGAAAAATACTGAATAAAATCAGGACAATTTCCTATTAATGGCACCTGCTGGTTGATAACTCTTTACTCTGCTTTGGGCTTCACCTTAACTGAATTCTACCAAACAGACACTCAAAACAAACATGGATTTTTTTTCCACCCCATAAAACAAAGCAGTGCCTCCCACTAAATTAATGTGCATGATGGGAATCTTGTCAAGAATACCTTCATGGCTAGAATAAAATCAGAGCGATGCATCTCCTGGAGGGCAGTGGAACAGGACTGCATTTCATACTTTTGAATCAAAATGGGATCATCCTAAATTTTAACAAAGCTACAAGGAAGACATTAATTACCCTAATTTTTCATCATTAAATATTGCTAGGTTTTCTTTACTTAAATGGTTAAAAACTAGTAATTTTCATGTCTGCCTGCACTGCAAATTTTCATAGTTTTTTTCCCCCTTCTCAAATCATCTTATTTAAAAAATAGAGATCTGCAAAGTTGCAGTTTTGAAGAACATTGACATTTTGTGTATTACACTAAACTTTGTGCAGAGAAATCTGGACTTTTGCCCTAGCCCTACCGCTGCTACAGATGTATCAAGGAGCATCACTACTAACTTTCATCAGCAGTAAAACAGGGATAAGATTTCCTTCTGGCCATCACTGTTTTCACTGAAAACATGTTGGAGCAAAAGAATAAAGCATTCCGTACACCAGGATCGCATTTGAGCCCCTTGGCTCTACTACAATCAAGTCTTATTACACCAAAACAGGCCATCTTCCTATCTGGATGCACCACAGCAGCTTGGGGAAGGCAGGGCGTGAAGAGAGAGGGGAGGGGTATGAGGCTTCCTCAAGGTCTCCCACCTTTGTTTCTCCAGACTCAAAGTATGCCTCAGCCTTCAGCTGCAACACTGCTGCTTAACCTCACATACATCACTGGAAACTTCTTCAAAGCAGTCCAAAACAGGGCAAACAAAGGCTAATGTTCTGGTGATCAGACTCTTTGCAATAGACTAGATCCCTGCTTCCTTTGAACAAAAGGAGGTCGATTCTTTAAGGATTGTTTAGCATTAAATAAACTTATTAAATTGTGCTGGTAATTAGAGGGCCACATTAATTAGAATGGAGGCCAGGAACAGCTGTTGACCCTGAACAAGAGGGCTGGGATCTATCCTCAGCAGTGAGCCACAAGCAAGATGCCACCAGGTCTCTCTGCAGCTCAAGCTAACCCCGTCTCTAGTGCTCACCTTTGCTGAGAAACATTAACTGCAGCAAGTGGCCATATAAATGCCAACTACAACTTACTGCAAGCAGTACAGATAAACCTGATCTCCTCCCTGCACTACAGCTATTTGCAGGATTACTTTAAAGATGTTTCCAGAAAGGGGAAATAAATAAGCCAGGGAAAAAGAGAAATAATCAGTCTCAAGCTCCATCTAATACCAATAGGCCAGGTTATCAGGGCCAATCCTAGCAGCTCATTGTTTCAGATGAAGGTTATGTTAAAGGAAGTGCAAAAGGCACTCACACGTTCTGGTTTCCAATACTATGACAACTCTATTTTTTCCTGGAAATGCTCTAAAAGCAGCTGAATTTGTTCTGACCAGCACACTGTCACCCTGTTTTCAGACCACTTCCTAGGCTGACATCAATCAGCCACGCCAGCAGCTGTTTACAAAAATGGACAGGGAGAATTAGATTTTCCTGAAAGACAGACAGTTTTCTTTTCACCTCAAATACATCTCCTGAACCCAATTTTTTCCAGGAGTATTAGGAACAGAAGTAATTTTCTAACAGCTATAGGGGATAAGGAAGCAGTGAGAACTGCACCCAGCTGTGAACACACAGTATACAGAAGTAAACAATCAAAAGATTTACCACCAGATTTGTTTCCAAGCTATCCAGAGCAGCAGAATGTATCCAAACCCCCGCACTATAAAATTTCTAGAGCACGCGTAACAACATAAATAATCACTTCTTGACAACAATGTCTCCAAACTGTGGTTCACAGACAAGCAGAAAATGACGAAAAGTGTGGGCATGCAATCCCGACACCCCTTGTTCCCAGCTAACAGAGAACTAAAAGATCATCCAAATGAGAAGTGCTTTCTTAATTTAAGTGTCCTATTAAAAGCAACTGCCACCTTCCAGATGCTTAAAGCTAAAGCTGAATTATAGACTTTCAATGCCATGGCAGCAAGAGCAGGTAGCCTAAAACCAACTGAAGTATGGCTCATACCACAAAGTGCCCATGGCTTCGGGAGCTCCTTTGCCAGGCTGCAGTTCTGGGTATGCAGTAAAAGAGCAGCGCAGGAGGATCGCGCGGTTAGGTGGGGAACTCATCACACAGTTGTATTTCAGTACAGGACTTAATGCCAGTAGAAATAAAATCCAAGACAACCAAAATTGAAAGAAGCGATACAACCCTTGCTCTTACCCTGACAATTCCTGTTTGGTTGTGAAATTCCAGCCCTTTAAAATATTACTTCCATCATTTCTCTTCTCCTCTAAGATCTCACACATCAGATATTTGGGAAGGGAGTTGGACGAAGTTATAAAACCTACAGATGTGTACGAACAACCCAAGAGCAAACACAGCACTGGACCTACTTTCAAAACAGTTACAGATGAGGCCCAGTGCTGAACTACAGGGTGAGCAAAGACTTGTAGGTCTTTACATTGGCAGCAGAATTGCCAACACAAGAGTCAGTGGTACAGTCACTCCAGAAGGCTCTCCCAGGACCGATACCTGCTCATGGAGTTATCTATCCCAACGCAAGAAACCAGCAGCAACGTACATTTATAGTCCAGACTGCAACTGTATTGACATGGTTTGTGTCAACACAAACAAGGTTCAGCAAGGAACAGTGCTCACCAGTAAAAGTTTAAGTACAAAGTCTAACTTGTGCTGTCATTAAGCACTACAACTATTTCACATGTTAAAAGTTCATAAAAGCTTTTTGCCAAGAGGTCAGATTTCTCAGTTCAGTCTGATGAATCGATGAAAGAAATACAGGACAAATGTTATGAATGGCTTGTTCCTAGAAGGCTACTTTAATTCTTTTTCACATATAGCCACTTACCTAAGTAACTCAGACACAGCTCAAAGTTGTTCAGCATTCTTCACTGCTGAACAGCCTGCTTGACAGCCAATCACCTTCCCATACTAAAACCAGCACATACCAGTAATACCGGGCCTCTGGCTTCTCACAGACATGGTGATGCTCCAGCCTCAGATCTAAGGTGCAGGGACTCACCCAGATAAACCCATTCTTTCCTGAAACACCAAACCAAAGGAGCAGCAACCTCTTGCTCAAATAGAGCCAACACCAGAGAACAAAGTGGGCTGTGGCATGCGTTCAGTAAACTAACGTTAGCAAGCTAGAGGCTGCACATGAAAGAAACTTCTCCCCATGGTCCAACACATTTTTTTCAGAATGAGAAGCAGCCATGTCGTATTTTCAGCCTCTGTATCAGACAGAAAAAAAATTTTCAAAATGAAGCGCTAGGCAGCAGCTTTGCTTATCTCCTCAGTACTCCTGAATGTATCTGCGTGGGAAAGAATCATGCTGGAGGGCTATCTGTGTCAGTACAAATACTAGAGGAAATATAAAAAAAAAAACGTAGCTATGTCTTTTTCCGATAACCAACCACAGGCAAAGGTGAGCTCCTCACATCTATACAGCAGCAGATAATACGGTTCAAACATTTCTTATAACAGTGTACATCATTAGATTTGTAAAAAACCCCACCTGTTCTAACATTTTTGTTGCTCCTACCAAATATAAGAAACTAATAACTTATATTAAAATTGCAACACTTTATACAACATTAACCCATTGCAGTTACTAGATATGGTCCACCAGTAAATTATTCTTTGGCTGTGGCCAATGTTAAATGCTTCAGAGATTTAAGAATTTTAAAAGAATAATTATGAAAAAAGCTAGGCCTAATTAGGGAAGTTTCCTTCCAACTTGCATCAACTTACATCAATACCTTTCCTCCTTAAAACTCACGTACAAAACAATCAGAACACAAGAGCGACTAAACTACTGTGCTGTGACCACTGCTACACATGGGAAGGAGAACATGTAATACTGTCCCTACACACTGCCTGCTCTCAGAAAATAAGGATCATCAGGGAAGAACAGCTTTACTATGCACGTCTGGTACTCTACACATGGGCTCCAGCACAGTTCCAATAAGCACATATTCCTCCCTCCCCAGCTACCCCAGAACAAGATTTAAATTAGAGTTCATTTGCTAATTCCTGAAGTTCATGAACTAAGAAAGAATTGCTTCACATTATTAATACTAATGCATAGGATCCCTTATCTGTTTGGCCTTATCTACTATCTAGATAAGGCCAAACAGGACAGGGAATTTTGTATAAAATTTCTATACACAGAAAGATGCCTCTATTTCTGTCCTTAAAGTGGACAACTGCCTCTATACATGAATTTCACAAGCTGCATCCACAGTATTGAGTAATCATAGCCAGCTTACCTCCATCATCCAGGGGCCGTTTCTGCACTCCATAACCGTAGACTGATGGGTCCACAAGTGTTGTAGAATTATTCAAGTGAGGAATATCTCCAATTTTAGCAGCAATCTATAAAGGCAGGGGATAAAAGCATGATTAGCATACCTGAAGTTTCAGCCACCACAGCTAAACGCTTTCTTCCAACAAGACATTTACCCCAGGCCAAACTTCCCTTAGCTATTTACTATACAGGTGGCTTTATAACAGTACCAGGACAGCTATGCTTCATTTGTAAAGTGAAAGATTTTCTGCTTGCTTTTAATATCTGTTTAATTAAGATCACATTCACCCAGATCCTCCTCCTGATCATAGGTAGGTATCTACTCCCTGGAACATTATATTCAGGTTTGTACACTCATAGACAGCTGACAGGTTACATCTTGCAAAGAGGAGAGTTCAAACTAGCTCACCGACTTTGTCCTGGAGAAGCTGCCACCACCATAGCCGTGTAGGAGGACACATGCTTCCTCCTGTGTTTGTGCATATCCCGATACAGAGAAATGCATAATCGCACATCAATGGGGGAATGGAGGGAGAAGAACATGAAAATACCCAGCACAAGGACAGGTTTGGGAACTCCTTGTCAGAAATCACCCTGTGTTTACTGTAAGAAGAATAAGCTGGTGGGCAAACTATTAGCCCAGAATTGAGTTTCAATTTCCTGCAGTGGTCAATACAGCAGGAACATGACTAACTCTGCCTGGGCCTCTGCTTCCATCCCTGGCTAACAGCCATTCCCTGCCAAGCCCGAGTGCAAGGAGGATGTTTACAGGAAAGAGGAGTCAGTCAGGTATCACAGTAAGGGGACTAAGGTAAGCAAATAGGCTACGCAAGAGAGAGACCTAACCACCACTTAATAAAAGGGAGAAGTTAAGCTCATGTCTAATGATACCTGGGACACATCTATGCAGATGGATGCTGACCAAAGTGAGCTCTTTCACCTGATGTCCAAGCTAACTGAAGTAAGCCCGCTCTAGAAATACAGAGGTGCCTTGCTTCAGCGCTGCACCCCAGTGAACACCCCCTCCAGGGACAGCAAACTGCAGCCTCACAGCACCCCTTGCCTACACAAAGTACTCGGCTATAATAAGCAAGTGCAGAACAAAGTAGTTACAGAACAAATATAAAGCATGGTGTATTCTACAGCATTTGCTTTCTTTTCCAGAAAGAAAATAACTGAACAGTATCTTTACTAGGAGTCTGATCTCACTCCATTTTAACTGTGATTTCACTGAAGAATAAGCAACGGGAACAGATAAAAGAACATTTTACAGATATGTTTTAAATGAAAACAAGGGCAAATGACAAATATAACTAAAGGTGTTTCTAAAATTTGAGTTTTACTGCAACAGAAAGACTTTTACTGTAACTCTGGTTGTTGACACTATGGGCTCCTGCATTGGAATAAACTGCCCAACATTCAGAACTACAGGTTACTGAAAAAAGCTATTTGAAATAATCTTGAAAGATTGAGGGCATTGCTTTTAGAAAGAGAATAGAAAACATTCTCTTCAATGCTGTGCATAAAAATGGTTCCAAGTTTTGACCATTTGTCCATTCCTTCCTGTCTTCTTTTCGAAAGTCAACAACTTTGTTGTGTCAGAAATGCCAGGAGCTAGAGAATGAAGTCTTCCTGCAGGACCAGCACAGTGATCACGTAGCAAAGCTGTGATGACAAGCACCTTGTAGATCAACATCTCCAAAACCTAATAAGCCCATGGAAATCTGATTCTGAAAGCATTAGCACAGACTACCCCTTGTCCACTCCATACTAGGGAGTGCCAGGTGATGCCTTGCTTTTTTGTTGAACTGTACTGCATCCATGGTTCCAGCTATTTGCCCACCTGCCTTCCCCTTATATTTGCAATGCAGAGGATTTTAATGAAGGTACAAAGAGCACAGATATTTCCTGACTAATTCCATGCTGAAAAACAAATCTAAAGCTGTATTTTATAACAATCTATTAACAGCTTTCACACAGTAACTTACAAATGTATGCCAAAAGGAACCAGTGTCAGGTATAACATACCCTGGCATGTTCTGGCACATTTGATTTTAACACGCGTTTTATGAACTCTCTTTCTGTTAGTAGTTATTTACTTGCAAAAAAAAAAAAATCTTAGTTGTGGAAACTGCTAGCTGATAGTTGGGAGCTAAAAATCATGCACCACACATTCAAGAAAAAAGGAAAAAATAGTCTGCGGATAGCAGAAGCTGGTCTACAGAAGCAAGCTAGCATGAAGCACAAAGGTGTGCACAAACAGATCATTGGCACTAAGGCTGTCCGCCCCCAGAGCTGGAGAGCTTTGCAAACCCCTACTCGTGCTTAGCACACCATTATCACCCTGGCACAGAACCCTCCAAGTGAAGGGCAAAATAAGAGTCAAAGCAATTTTTACATTATCAGCTTTTAGGATATTTTCCTCTCTTTCCCCCCCCCCCCCCCACCCCCACCTTCTTTATTTAAATTTGCACCCTTATCTCCAAAGCCTCCCAGCTGCCACTGGATTACAGGCGGACAACATGCCACCTCACCACAACATGAAAAAATACCCTGCAAAATTAAAAGTTGAGCTTTTTAAGTAGATGTAGCAGTTAAAATATATTTTAAATTCTTATGGTCAACTTAAAATGAGAACCTCAGCTTGTACTACAGGTTCAGCAGGGAGATAAGCACAGAAGTTAGAACACAGCAAAAGCAAGCAGACCTAGCCCTTATCTTACTAAATGACCTTGAGTAATGTACTGCTAGCCACTGCTTTTGTCCTGCTGTCAGTCTTCGTTCTCCCCCCCCTTTTTTTTTTTCCCCTAAACTCTACACATCTATTTTAATAAGATCTGAAATACACTGGAAAAAAGCATCACTACTACAGAACTTCTTCTGCACAAAAATTTCCCCAAAATAATGCTCTCCAACAAACACTTTAAAGAACATAGCGCAAACCTGAGCTATAAATTTCAATGGTAAAGTCAAGAAAAACAAACAAAACCCCACAAAGTTGTGTAAGGGATACATGCTTTCCTGTATCTTGCACTTCTGTCCTCCTATACCATTAACATCCTTTAAAAATGGTGTAATACCAAACCACTGTTAAATATGAAGCTTTGCTAAGCACAGCAGGACTCAAACACGCGTATTTGCAGAATTCAGCTTTCAACAGAAAAGGCCTAGCTTCTGGGAAGAATCTCTCCATGCTGTCCCACCAAAGAACTGCAACTGATAAAATCATCGATTCTAGGTATTAGTAGGATATAAAACAACAAGGTGCTGTCACCTGACCCTTCAGACAATTCTAGTGCTTCTGCTACCCTTTCCATTTGTTGAGCAGAATACTCGAGTTCACATGACAGATGTTTCTCCAGAGCTCTGCAGGAAGTAACGAAACCATTCAGAATCATTTAAGTTTCAGGTCACAAGTGGTTTTCCTAAATACTAGAGAAATTTCAAAGCCTTAAATCTATTTGAGAATGATCTGAAGAAGTACTCTGCAAGGCAATAAAGAAAAGTTAGTCTAAGACCCCTCCATCACCACAGAAATTAGAAGTTAGAGCCTGATAATAGAAAGGGATTTTAAACATACAGCCTGCTGGCTCTCAGTAAGTGTCAAAATATTCATCCACTTTCAAGGTACCCAAGACGGCATGCTACAGGCTTATCAAGCCACAGCCTTTCCTCTTCACAGCATTCCCAAAAATTCAAGTTCAGGCAGCACATATGGCAGGTTGCAAGAACAGCACATGTAAGAGGAGGAAACCAGTAAGTGCTGCAAACGAGACTGCCGAGGAGAACAGAAGAGGGTAAGAACCAAGCAAGACGCTGTTTTGTCAATAAGAACAAGACTCAAGGACAGTCCAATAGAAATCCATTTTTTGTCCAAAGTACAGACAGCTCTGCTTATTTTCTGATCCCATTACTCAAAAGGGGAACAAATATCCTCTTTCCCTACCACCCCAGATGCCACAGAAAAGCCACCCTGCCTAGGAGCGGCCAGACAGATCAGTCACCACCGATGATCCATAAATTAATCCACTCACTTGAGGTGTGGTGTGAAGATGCAGGACAGATGGTCTGAAAGTCCTGGCATTCACTCAAAAAAGTAATTTCTGATACATCTCAAATATTTAAGAATCCACAAAAAATCCAAGCAAGTCCAGCACAGACACTGAAAGCAATTTATAAGCCATCTCTTTCAAAGGTATTCTAGACTTCTTACTCTTATGTCATCTCACACCCCAGTGACTTAAGGAATGCAGTTACTGTGATTAATCGGGAAAGTCTTCCCTGTTCTGAATTATTTTGTTATTAATAACTAAGCACTGTATTCCACAGCCCAATTTTAGTGTTACAGCTCTCATGAGAACTGAATTTAGTAAATTTGATTACTGGTCTTAAGTATAAGATCAAACTCCAAAAGAGTTCAAATGTCAATTTAGGGATGCCATACCAACCCACAAAGCAAGAACTACAACTGAATTTTTTTCCTCTGCTCACTCCCTCCCTTGCCCTTAAAGCAAAAGTAATACTCAGAAAAGGCTACGGCATTGGCCAGAAGCAGTACAAAAGCTGACATCTACGTACCAGATCAGCATGGTTCAGGCAACTACAACATTAAACACACTCAGTGAAAACTCTGCCACCAGCTCCAGAAAAGCTGCATTTACATCTCACCTGATTCTCAGCCCCGAAGTTCCATCACAGATTGTTTGGGTGGCAAGGTAAATACCCATCCACTGCGCAATGAAGACCATCTCCATTCTCATGTGGTAACAAGTCACTAGTGACAATTTAGTCCTGCTGTTCTGGGCAGGAAAAGACTACCTACTCCCTTACAAAGCCTCTATGGAACTAGATTAAATCAAGTACTTTTGCAGGGGGGGGAAGTATTTTAGCACTTGCCAACAATTCTTTTCATCCCATAAACACTAATGGAAAAAAAAAAAAAAAAAAAATCACATTCAACAGGCAGCATACAACTCACTGCACAAAAATGTAGGCCACTGTGCTCCCCTGAACACGTGCAGAGAGCACATTTCTCAACACACTTGCTTCCAGCGTGAAAAGATAGCAAGAAGGTTGCTACGCTGCAGCGCCTGACCTGAAGTTGGCAGCTTGGAAGATTTTGAAATCTTCCAGTACAGACTAACTCAAGTTGCAGGCTCATGGAAACCGAAGACATTCTTTCAAATGTAATGAACTTAGGAACAGCAAAATCTGAAAAAGCGAGCACATCTAGGTTACAAAATTATTTAATATTCCATCTCCTTCATGTGTGGGTTATGGGCCTCACAGATTTACCCTACAAACATGGTGACAGCAACCACGCAACACCAATTCAGAGTAATTTTCAGTTAGTGCTGTGTTTTAGCCTAATACTGTCCAGGGCATCTCACGTTCACATTGGACCTGTTACTGATTAGATGAGTAGTGGTACATACTGTTGCACTTGAAACATACTCACAAAGTAATTTCATCAAGCTGCAACTTACCAGCAAAAAATGATTTTCTTCTGCATAAACAGATTATTCAAAGATTATTCAACTGCTAGCAGACAATAATATTACCAGATATTCAGCAAGATGTTTTTGCAATGAGAAGCCTTCAGTAACAGACAACCAGGTCAAGACAAACACAGCTGCAACATCTCTCAATTTAACTGCATCAAGTAGATAACACTGGGCTAACAGCAAAGCTTTCAGACACCACACACCAACCAAGGCCACGGCGCTTTGTTAGCCACTGAAAAAAAGTGACGTGTGGTGGCATTCAGGAGGCAGCTAACATGCAACTTGCCTACTGCAATATTTATGCTGAGAAAGAAACCAACGACCAAAGAGCAGACTAGCTTGTGATATCCTCTGGGAAGGTGCAGGGTGCTCATCTAGAACAGTGAGTGCCTCTGTACGGGTCGCTGAAGCCCACACAGGATGGGGACTTGCTGCCACACTGATTCACGAGTGAGCTGTGAGCGACGGTAAGCCACTTCAGTTCCATTAGAGCGACCGCTTGAAAGATCTCAGTGTCCAGCTTCAGAGGTTTCTCAGTGAAATAAGAAAAGTGAGTCTGAGCAATAGAAGATTTCTCCCACCTGGCCCGTAACATTGGAAAGAATAAAATCAGGGTCTTTAAGCACCAGCTGGGCAGTGGTCTAGTTATTTAGCTGTATTACATCTCATTAAGGTGCAGCTACTAAGCACGAGTAAAGTGCAAACTGTTCAGAGATGGAATGAACACCTGCAACAGACACGGAACAAGAGATGCGATGAACAGTCACAAAATCGGGTTGTGAGCAACAGCTTCTCGTCTCTGGGGAGACCTTCCACAAACTAAGGAGCACACAAACACCTGGAATATCCTGTACTGAAGACGAGGGTGTTGATTTCTGCAGGTCAGGGTGCTTCCACTGAATGTTTCCATTTTAGCACCGTGTAAGCTCAGGGATTCCTTTGGGGAGTGAATCCCTGCTCGCTCACTCTCTCCTTCCCATTGGGAACGCAAAGCTCCCCCTCTGCCAGGGTTTCTATCGATTAGCCTCACGCACAATTAAAGGCTCGCTTAAAAACCGAATTAACGTTAAGATCACGCCCACCCCCTGCAAAGTGCAAGACGACAGCCGCCCAGCCGGGCTCCCGCAGGCTGCAGACCGCCGCCTTCCCCGCAGAGCGGCCGCTCCGCCGTGTCACAAGCCCCGGCTTGCGGAGGGGACTGTCACCGAGCTCCCCCGCCTCAGCGGACAGCCCCGGGGCTCCCGAGGAGCCGCCGGCTCCGGCCCGGCAGGAGAAGGGCAGCGGGGCCGCGGCCCTGCCCCTCACGGCGGCTCCGCGCCCCGCCTCACCCCCGCGGCCTAGCAGCGGCCCCGCGGCCTCCTCCCGCCCCCGGCCCGCCGAGCCGGCGCCTACCTGCCGGACCCGGTGCAGCGCGTCCACGAACCCCTCGGGCTTGATCCCCACGGACGCCGCGCTCTGCCCCTGCGCCAGCTCCGCCATGACACGCGCCCCGCGCCCGCCCGCCGCCGCCGCGCCGTCCCGCCGCTCCGCCCGGGGACCCGCACCCGGAAAGGGAAAGAGCCCCCCGCTTCCGCCGGAAGTGGGGCGGGGGGGCGGGGGCGGCGGGGCGTGGCCTCGGGGAAGGCGATTTTGGGGGGGTGAGGGGGGTGTGGGGGGGGTGTACGTCACGGCGGCTCACGTGCCGGAGGGGGGGGGGGGGGGGGGGGGGGGGCGAGGTCCTGACCCGCCCCGCGGGACCCCCAACCCCACCCGTGACCGGACACCCGCGGGGTCGGGGGCCGCCCGGGAACTCCAGTGCCCGCGGGGGTGTCGCCGCGCCCGTGCTCGTGACACCTCGTCCCTGCCCCGGCCATCCCACCCGTGCCCGTGACACCCCACCCGTGTTTGACTCATCCCACCCGTGCCCGTGACACCCCGCCCCTGCCTGTGCCATCCCACCCGTGCCAGCCCCCGCCATCCCACCTGTGCCCGTGACACCCCGTCCCTTCCCCGGCTATTCCACCCGTGCCTGTGACACCCCCGTCCCTGCCTGTGCCATTCCACCCGTGCCAGCCCCCGCCTGACACCCCCTCCCTTCCCCGGCCATCCCACCCGTGCCTGTGACACCCCACCTGTGTTTGAGCCATCCTACCCGTGGCAGCCCCCACCACCATCCCACCCCTGCCTGACACCCTGTCCCTGTCCGTGACACCCCACCCGTCGCAGCCCCTGCCATTCCACCCGTGCCTGTGCCACCCCACGCCAGGCTGCGCCACCCCTGGTGCCCACCGAGGTGCCCCACCAGCGACCAGCATTTCAGACCCCACCCCCCCCCCCCGTGGAAACTCATCATCCCACCCGTGCCCACCTCCCGCCTATTTCCGTGCACGTTTCAGGACCGTGTTTCTGACCCACGCGGCTGTGGCTGGGCACTGGTGACATGTCACACGAGGTGCCAGCGTGCTCCGGAGAGCTCTGCCCCGCTTTACCAAGAACTGGGGCTCCCAGAGGTGCCCCGGCACCCCCCCCCCCCCATCCCCTGGGCCCGACCCCCTCAGTCCCAACCCTCCCACCGCGGCGGAGCCGCAGGACACGGACCAGTTAGTCAAGAATTAATGCAAAAAACATGCAAAGCTTATTCCTCGAGCAGGGCGCTGCTGCACGGTCCCTGCCCAGCGCTTACAGCCTGGGACGTTTGGGCGATAGTGGTGCTTTTTGGGGGTGTCCCAACGAGGGCTGCCACCCAACCTGTTGCCCAGGTAGGTCCGGTGATTTCCCACCTCCCCCCCCCCCCCCCCCAGCCTGGCAGCACAGGGGGGACCTTGTCCTAAACCCCCCGACCCACCCACTCAGATGCAGCTGCATGAGTGGGTAAGAGATGTTATCTCCCAAATCGCAGCCTGCAGCCAGCTCCTGGCGTGGCTGGGTTTGCACGCTGAGCCTGGAATACTCCAAGTTTCGCTGATCCCAGACCCCGTATCCCGAAGCCACCGAGTATTAAATTCAAAATTCAAACTACGACCCAAGTCGTGTTGTGCTCCTTCTCAGCTGTTTCTTGCTCTTTCCAGTTTTATGCATCTCATTTGCGCCTACATGAGTAGGCAGGAATTGCTGAGGCTGAGGAAATTATCTGGTGGTTTTCCAAGAGCAGTGATCACTGGGATGCGCAGTCTGCTGCCAGTCACCTACGTTACACCAGCGGGCTTGCTGATGACCAGACTTTCCTCCTTTCCTAAGTCCATATTATTTTCTTAAGCAAAGAATTTAAAAAAAAAAAATTTAGGAGAAAGAAACACAGCCCTTGGGGGAGGGATTTTAAGATTCTCTGTATCACCACAGCCACCCCATCATCTTCCGACCATGGTGGAGACAATTTCTCCAGCTATGCCCAGGGCTTTGCTTCTTCCTCTCTTGCAAACAGCTCAACTACTTTACTGGATTCGGCAGCGTTTTCCCCTCCTAGCCCTGGTTGGGAAGACCCAACAGGCTCAGCACCAGCCTTTCACCAGCTGCCCCTTTCCCCAGGCAGGTCATGGGTGTGTGGGGGGTCACCCCAACAGCCCCACTCAGCTCTCAGGGGTGCCTTGCCCTGAGCAGGATTCGCCCTGCAGCCCTCCAGCTAATGCCAACCTCAAAGTGGCTGCAAAGAGAGGTGACCAAATCTGAAGCCTAAAGCCCCCGGCGCTGGCATGTCGGCAGAGAGAAGCCGGACCCTTCGCTGCCAGAGCCAGCGTGGGGCTGTGAGAGCTGAGTTTTGGCAATCTCAAGCCCTGGCAAGAGATGGGGGAGCCTCATCGGTGCTGGGCAGGACTGAGCTGAGGGACCAGGCTGCCAGAAGGGTGATGGTGAACCCCGGCACTGGACAGGCAGGGGTGGCTGGGAGGGAGCCTGGTGAGAAGAAGACATCAGGCAGCAATTGAAAAGAAGGAAATTACAGGCCTTAAACACTTTCAGAAACAAATTCCTGATGTAAATCTTCCCTTCGAGGGAAAAAAAAAAAAAAAAGGAAAAAAAAGGAGTGATTCTACGCCTCCATCACCCGCCTCCCCCTGCCCGAGACACACACACCTTCACACACACACGCGCTGAAATTAGTTGTGACAGCTGAAATTCTCCTCTCGTCGGACGCCGTTTGACAGGGTACTTAAAAAAGGAGGAGAAAAAAAAAAAAGAGAAGAAGAAGAAGAAAAGGGAAAGTGGTTTGGTGTCACATGGGGGAGGCGGAGGGGGGTTTCAAGTGATACAAGGCGCATAATTCAGGCTTCTTGGATTGCAAAAGCTCCTCTTACCTAAAGGGCCTGCTGCCTTTATTTTTATCCAAATGGCTCAATTACTGCAAAGCCCCACAGAGAAAATTATGGATGTTTGCCTCTATTTTTCTCCCCTTGTCTCGACAACTGTAGATATTTTGTTTTCCTTCTTTCTATCTCTTTTTTTTTTTTTTTTTTTTTTTTCTCTTTAGGTGGTGGTGGGCGCGGGAGGTGGAAGGTGGCTGGGAACCAGGACCGGGGATGGATGGGCAGATGTGGGGGACCCGGGGCGAGGGATGGGATGCTGGCATGTGGTGGCCCTGCCACCATCACACAACTTGGTGTTCTCCCTGTCTCTCCTGCGTCACCTCACACCTTCAGCTCCTTGCGTCCCCCTTGCCCCCATGTCCCCCACCCTTCTCCCTTCCTCCAGCCCCTTCTCCCTCTCTTTGCTCCCACCTCCCTCCTTTCCTTCCCCCTGCTCTCCTCTCCATCACCCCCTCCCTGTGCCTCTCAAAGCCACCATAATAGCAGCTTGTTTGGCACTTCACTTGGTCTCAATGAGAAAATTCCCCCCTCTCCCTCTTTTTGCCTTCGTTATTTCCAAACCCTGCAATAGCTCCTTTGCTCAGGGCTGCGGGAAGTGCCCATTTTTCAACATTTTTCTTTGGCTTATGTTTGTCATCCTCGGAATTACCGCACCGGGGAGTCCAGTCAGCCCGACACTGGGCCCTGCTATTCACGCCTCTCCTGCTCCTTGAGATCATGTAGGGAGAAATTAGTTATTTATTTTGAGCACCACTGCAATGCACTTCTCCGCAGAAGTGTTTGTTTTGATCCCCTGCTGGAAAAGGAGGCTCTGCGGGGAGCGCCGGCACGCTGGCAGCGCCGGGTCGGGCAGGAGGTGCAGTGAGGGCAGGGCAGGGTGCGGGCAGCCCCGGGGGGCTCTCAGGAGAGATGGGAGACCCCCAATGAAAACACGGCTCATGGAGGGGGTCCCCATCATGCTGAGATGCTTCCCGAGGCTCCTCCTGGGGCAGATGCTCTCTGCAGGTCCTGAGAGTTTCCAGGCGATGTTGTCCCATCAGGAAACCCGTGGTTTTATCCTTAGGTCAGACATCCCATGGTAGAGATGGATCCTGAGACCGCCTGGTGCCGGGGGAGCATCCCACCCCAAGCTGGCTATGACTGCGCCAGGGAGTGCAACCCAGGAGGTGCTGAAAGACTGGGCAGGTTTGGTGGCTGGAGGAGAAAAACAACCCTGCTCCAGGCCCACGGTCACCAGACGTGGCCCCCAGCCCCGCTCACCGGCTGGTCCCCTTTCACAGAGCAGTGCCAGCTGTGCTCGGGCAGCCAAGTTTTTGGGCAAGGGAAGCACAGACCGGGAAACATTCACCAGCTCAGAGGTGATGGGAGATGGGAAGGACGCTGCCTGTCCTTGGAGCTCGTGACCCACCTCCCCTCCTCCCTGTGCTAAGTCAGCGAGTCCTGTCGCTGAGCCCAGCGGTGCCGTTGCAGGCCAGGCTGGCATCGCTGCAGCTCCACAGCCACCCCGGCAGTCGGGATGCTGCCAACGCTCACGAGCCCTTTTCCTTGCGGAGATGCCATGGGCAGGCGTGGGCAGCACCGGCACTGGCCGCGACAGGCTGCTGGCAAAGGGGCCCAGGGAGCTGCGGCTTTAAAGAAAGAAGAGGAGCAGCGGGAGGAAGAAAATGCAAAATTGGCCCAGTGGGTAGACTTGCTATTTAAGTGCAGTTGAGAAGCGAGCGGGAGGAATTACAGGAGAAATGATAGTGCCCTGACAGCTGCCATTTCCCACCGCCAGTCTCCCCTAATGGAGTCCTAATGTAGTGGTGGGCTCTTCGCTGTCAGCCCAGCCCGAGACAGGGCTCGTCTTTGTGCTGGTGACAGATGGGACAGTCCGGCAACAAACCTGTAATCCTCTGATTTCTGCTGGCGCTGGCTCCGCTTAACCCCTTCTTTCCCCAGCACCCGCTTGCTGCCCAGGTGTGGGGCCAGCGTGGGGTCCGACCTGCCCCCGGGGTCCCCCATCGATCTGTTACGGTGTGCAGGGTCTGGCAGCAAAGCAAGGCGCTGGGAGGAGGAGGCAGCCGCCTGCAGCTCCCTCGGCATCCCTTGGCTGCTTCTGGCCAGGGCAGCGCGACAGAGGCTCAGCCCCGTCACCAAACCCAGCCAGAGCAGGCGGCAGCACGGCTCCCTGCGGGGAAAGCAAAAACCTGGACCCCACTCTGGCCTGGCTCCCCGTGCTGCTCTGCCTGCGTGACATTTAAGCGGGCAGGTGAGTGCAGGCAGGTGA